CGCAGGGGAGAAGGAGGTTTTAAGAGAGAAGATATTGAGCGGGCGCGGTGGCTCACGCCTGTAATCCCAGCAGGTTGGGAGGCCGAGGCAGGTAGATCACGAGGTCAGGAGTTTGAGACCAGCCTGGCCAACATGGTGAAACCCCGTCTCTACTAAAAATACAAAAATTAACCGGGCGTGGTGGTGCGCGCCTGTAGTCCCCAGTTACTCAGGAGGCTGAGGTAGAAGAATGGCGTGAACCCGGGAGGCGGAAGTTGTAGTGAGCAGAGATGGTGCCCCTGCACTCCAGCCTGGGCAACAGAGCAAGCAAAGAAAAAAAAAGATCAGATACTGCCCGAGGCCCTGTAGCTGATGAGGGTCAAAGCCAGCCGAGAACCTGAAATTTGCCCTGTCTGCCTTCCCCGCCAACATGATACCCCCCAGCAGGCCTGTGCTTCATTCACCAGCTTTCTCGCCCAGCAGAGCAGGTGCTTGGGGAGGGAACAGACACCACCAGCTATGCCTGCTTCTTTACTCAGGTCATATCAGTGGCTCCTTCTTCCTTCCACTTCCCAGCTACCACCATCCCTCCCTCTGGGACGAGCAGGTCTCTTCCAGGACTCCCTGCTTCCATTCTCCCCAGCCCCTTCCACGTAGGGCCTGGAGGGATCTTTTTAAAAACTAACCACAGGCCTGATGCTGTGGCTTACACCAGTAATCCCAATATTTTGTGAGGCTGAGGTGGGTGGATCACTTGAGATCAGGAGTTCAAGTCCAGCCTTGCCAGTATGGTGAAGCCCTGTGTCTACTAAAAATACAAAAATTACCCGGGTCTGGTGGCAGGCGCCTGTAATCCCAGCTACTCTGGAGGCTGAGGTACGATAATGGCTTGAACCCAGGGGGTGGAGGTTGCAGTGAGTTGAGATCTAGGCACTGCATTCCAGCTTGGATGACAGAGTGAGACTCCCTCTCAAAAACAAAAGGCCAGGCGCGGTGACTCACTTGTGTAATCCCAGCACTTTGGGAGGCTGAGTCGGGCAGATCACGAGGTCAGGAGATCGAGACCATCCCGGCTAACACGGTGAAACCCTCTCTCTACTAAAAATACAAAAAATTAGCTGGGCGTGGTGGCGGGCGCCTGTAGTCCCAGGTACTTGGGAGGCTGAGGCAGGAGAATCACTTGAACCTGGGAGGCAGAGGTTGCAGTGAACCAAGATTGGGCCACTGCACTCCAGCCTGGGCTACAGAGTGAGACTCCGTCTCAAAAAAATAAAAAAATAGGCTGGGCGCAGTGGCTCAAGCCTGTAATCCCAGCACTTTGGGAGGCCAAGGTGGGTGGATCACGAGGTCAGGAGATCGAGACCATCCTGGCTAACATGGTGAAACCCTGTCTCTACTAAAAAATACAAAAAATTAGCCGGGCGTGGTGGCGGGCGCCTGTAGTCCCAGCTACTCGGGAGGCTGAGGCAGGAGAATGATGTAGACCTGGGAGGTGGTGGAGCTTGCAGTGAGCTGAGATCGCGCCACTGCATGACAGAGTGAGACTCCGTCTCAAAAAAAATAATAATAAAAATAAACAAATAAATAAAATAAAAACCAACCACAAATATTATTCAGTGGTTGAAAAAAGAATGAAGTCCGGCATGGTGGAGCATGCTTGTATACCCAGCTACTCAGGAGGCTGAAGCAGGCAGGCCCAGGACTGCAAGGCTATAGTGTGTGGTGATAGCACAACGCCTCTGAATAGCCAGTGCACTCCAGCCTGGGCAACACAGCAAGACCCCCTCTAAAGAAAAAAAAGACCTGTCCGGGCACAGTGGCTCACACCTGTAATCCCAGCACTTTGGGAGACCGAGGCAGGCGGATCACCTGAGGTCAGGAGACCAGCCTGTCCAACATGGCAAAACCCCATCTCTACTAAAAATACAGAAACAACTAGCCGGTCGTGGTGGGGGCGCCTGTAATCCCAACTACTCAGGAGGCTAAGGCAAGAGAACAGCTTGAACCCGGGAGTCAGAGGTTGCAGCGAGCCAAGATTGCACCATTACACTCCAGCCTGGGTGACAGGGACTCTGTCTCACACACACACAAAAAAGACCTGAAATACTGATACATGCTACAAAATGGATGAACCTTATGAAAAAATAACACTTAGCTGGGGAATATGGTTCCTTTTCAATTATACAGCTGAGAAACATAGAATGAGACCACAATCACACTCTGTCCACTTTGTGTTTGTCTCTTGAAACTGGTTGGTATTGCCAGAAGTAGCTATAAATTAACCTAATAATGCCAAACTAGGCACTATAACCCACACCTTAGAGTTTAATAATGTATAGCCAATCACTAATCAGTCATTTCTGTAAACCAATGAGAATTCCTGATTAACTTTGTATCAGTTTGCTTCCTGTCCCCGTTTTTTGCCTTTAAAAATCCACTTGTAGTCTGGGAGCGGTGACTCACGCCTGTAATCCCAGCACTTTGGGAGACCGAGGCGGGCGGATCACAAGGTCAGGAGATCAAGACCATCCTGGCTAACACCGTGAAACCCCGTCAGGAGAATGGCGTGAACCTGGGAGATGGAGGTTGCAGTGAGCCGAGATCGCGCCACTGCACTCCAGCCTGGGCAACAGAGCGAGACTCCGTCTCAAAAAAAAAAAAAAAAAATTCACTTGTAGGTTGGGTGCAGTGGCTCACACCAGTAATCCTGCCACTTTGGGACACCAAGGCAGGAGGATTGCTTGAGGCCAGAAGTTTGAGACCAGCCTGAGCAACACAGCAAGGCCCCATCTCTACAAACGATTAAAAAACAGGCCGAGCACAGTGACACAAGCCTGCAATCCCAGCACTTTGGGAGGCCGAGATGGGTGGATCATGAGGTCAGGAGATCAAGACCATTGTGGCTAACACGGTGAAACCCCATCTCTACTAAAAAATACAAAAAATTAGCCGGGCGTGGTGGTGGGTGCCTGTAGTCCCAGCTACTCGGGAGGCTGAGGCAAGAGAATGGCGTGAACCTGGGAAGCGGAGGTTGCAGTGAGCCGAGATCGCGCCACTGCACTCCAGCCTGGGCGACAGAGCGAGACGCCATCTCAAAAAAATAATAATAATAAAATAAAATTTAAAAATCCACTTATATCTGCGGCTCATCCAAGTGTAAATTCAGGGCAACTTAAATCTATGTCCAGGATGTAATCCTCAAGCTTGGCCCACATAAACTACTCTGTATTTATATTAAATTTGTCTTAGCATCTTCCTTTTAGGTAGGTACTTGAAATTTGAAAATACGCTGAATGAAAAAAGCCAGACACAAAGGCAAAATACTGTATTATTTCAGTCTTACGGGGTGTTACCGTTGTCAAAATCATAGGAACAGAAAGTAGAATGTGTTTATCAAGGGTGGGGGAGCAGGGAATACAGACTTTAATGTGTACAGAGTTTGTTTGGGATAGTAAAAAAAAAAGTGAGATGGGGCTGGGCACAGTGGCTCGTGCCTGTAATCCCAGCACTTTGGGAGGCCGAAGTGTGCAGATTACTTGGAGTTAGGAGTTTGAGACCAGCCTGGTCAACATGGTGAAACCCCGTCTGTACCAAAAATACAAAAATTAGCCAGGTATGGTGGTGGGTGCCTGTAATCCCAGCCACTCAGGAGACTGAGGCAGGAGAATCGGTTGAACCCAGGGGGCAGAGGTTGCAATGAGCCAAGATCATGCCACTGCACTTCAACCTGGGGAACAGTGAGACTCCTCAAAAAAAAAAAAAAAAAGTTGGGGCTGGGCACGGTAGCTCACGCCTGTAATCTCAGCACTTTGGGAGGCCAAGGCAGGCGGATCATGAGGTCAGGAGATCGAGACCATCCTGGCTAACACAGTGAAACCCTGTCTCTACTAAAAATACAAAAAATTAGCTGGGCGTGGTGGTGGGCACCTGTAGTCCCAGCTACTTGGGAGGCTGAGGCAGAAGAATGGTGTGAAATGGGAAGGTGGAGTTTACAGTGAACCGAGATAGCGCCACTGCACTCCAGCCTGAGCCACAGAGCGAGACTCTGTATCAAAAAAAAAAAAAAAAAGTTGGGATGGATAGTGGTGATGCTTGCACACCAATGTGAAGGGACTTGCTTAAAACATTGAATGAAACCATAATCCTGGCCAGGCATGGTGACTCTGGGATTACACCTGTAATCCCAGCACTTTGGGAGGTCCAGGTGGGACGATCGCTTGAGCCTATGTCTCAACAACGCTGTCTCTACCAAAAAATTTTAGCCAGGTGTGGTGGCACAGGCCTGTGGTCTCAGCTAAGAGGCTGAGGTGGGAGGATCACCTGATGCCAGGAATTTGAGGCTGTAGTGAGCTGTGATCCAGCCACTGCACTCCAGGCTGGGCGACAGAATGGGGCCCAGTCTCAAAAATTACAAAATAAAAAAACTCCCATTGTTCCCAAGATGGTTTCCCGCCTCTATCCCAGATGTGTGACCTTGAGCAAGAAAACCTTTCTGTACCCAACTGCCTCATCTATAAAATGGGGGTAATGACACCGAGGCCACAGAAGGCAACCGTGAAGTCGAGTTCCAGTGCTTGATGTATACACATCCCAGGGTTTGCACTGTTGTTTGAGCCCCACGGGAGCAGGCGCTACCTGCTAGCACCTTAGATACCTGCATCTGACCCCCTGTTCCTGGTGCTAGCCCCGGATATTGGCAGGGTTGGCTCCTTATCTCTCATCTCAGACTTTCTCAGGCTGCCCAGACCAACTCGCGCTCTGTCCCTATCCCTCGGATCGCCCCCTTATTCACCTCCTGCGTCCTCGCACAAGAACTGAAGTCCTTAGGAGGCAGGGCCAACCCTGTTCCCTCCCAGGACCCGAGAATGTGGCAGGGTCCCCTGATGTGCTATGTCCACATGGACACCAAGGTCAGTTCTGGGCCGAAGCGGCCAGCGCAGGGGCTGACCGCTCGGACCTCACTCCTTCCAGGGGTGAGTGGGCGACGCGGCCTCACGTCATTGCCCTGCCCTCCAAGGCTCGGGGTCGTCCTCTGGCAGGACGCCCTGGCCTCGCAGGACGGGGGTGGCCTCCCAGGTAGGGCTGCAGTCGCTAAGTCCGAGGCGGCTGGCTCACCTCACTGAGCCCGCCTGGACATGGCGTCAGCGGTCGCCGCGGCCGGGGAACCACCAAAGAGTCAGGGCGAGCCTACCGCGAGCAGCCTCCGCTCGGGCCCACGTGCGGTTCCGCGTAGGCCGGCGGCGCAGGCCACTTCTGGCAGCGGTGCACCATGGAACTTGCAGTTCGCGGGCAAAGGTTGCGTCCTGGGTGTGGCAGCCGCGCTGCATGTTGGGAGCTGTAGGCGCCGCGTGGCATGCTGGGGGCGCTAGGTACCGAAGGCAGATGCGGTCCCTTTGGGCTCGCTTCTTCCGTCGCCACCACGAGTTTCGGGGGACCTTCGCCCCACGCTATAAGAGCAGCCACTTCCGGAGCTATTGGCCTTCGCCTGTGCCGCGGAAACTGCCTTGACGGGGCGGGGGGGGAAGTGTCAATGGCTTCTCCTCCATCGTCATTGGCTGAGCGCCTCGTGACGCCATTCTGAGGCGCCTCATGCGGCGCCCCGCTCGGGTCCCGGAGGCTTCTGGGTAGCGGTTTACCCCCGCCCCTTGCGTCGGCGCCTTCCTTTTCCTCCCTGACACCGCTGAGCTCGCACGCGTGAGGCCTCTCCGCCGCCGCCGCAGACGCCGCCGCGTGAGTGTGGTGACCCGGCCCGGGGTGCGGGCTGGGGACGCGGGGTCCGCGGGGATGCGAGGTGGGCGGCGGGGTCTTTCCGGGACGGAGGCCTACTGGTCGAGCCACACGCGGCCTCGTCCGGCGGCCCCGGGGTGGGCAGGCCGGAGGCCACCGGGATAACACCGCCGTCGCGCCCTCTCCGCCCGCCTCAGGATGCGCTACGTCGCCTCCTACCTGCTGGCTGCCCTCGGGGGTAACTCCTCCCCCAGCGCCAAGGACATCAAGAAGATCTTGGACAGCGTGGGCATCGAGGCGGACGACGACCGACTCAACAAGGTAGCTGCCGCCCTTGCCCCGCAGCCGCCGTAGAGCCCCAGTGTTCCGTACGGGCGATTTTTCTGCCTGATCCGGCCACATGCTGGAGGGTTCGGGGAGAGGCTTGTTTCAGTCCAGTTGGCGATTTCTCGGGTAGAGATGTAAGCAGGGTGGGGGCCAGGTGCAGTCGTTCACGCCTGTAGTCCCAGTACTTTGGGAGGACGAGGCGAGCGGATCACCTGAGGTCAGGAGTTCGAAACCAGCCTGGCAAACATGTCGAAGCCCCATCTCTACTAAAAATACAAAAATTAGCCGGGCATGGTGATGGGTGCCTGTAGTCCCTGCTACTTGGGAGGCTGAGGCAGGAGAATCGCTTGAACCCGGGAGATGGAGGTTGCACTGAACCAAGATCGTGCCACTGCACTGCAGACTGGGCAACAGAACGAGACCCTGTCTCAAAAGGAAAAAATAAAAAGCCGGATGCGTACGAGGCAAAGTCGTGAATAATGAGTTTTGGAAGTTTAATACAAATGAGATGCATAATTAATTCCTTAAAAAACAAACAAAAAAAGGCAGTCCTGGCGAGTGGCTCACCCAGCACTTTGGGAGGCCAAGGCGGGTGGATTATTGGAGCCTCGGAGTTCAAGACTAGCCTGGAAAACATCATAAAACCTGGTTTCCAGAAAAAGTTAAAAAAAAAAAAAAAATAGTTGTAGGCAGTGGTGCACATCTGTAGTCTCAGCTACTCAGGAGGCTGAGGCGGGAGGCTCATTTGAGCCTGGGAAGTCAAGGCTGCATGGAATAGTGATTGTGCCACTGCAGTCCCACAGAGCCAAGCCCTGTCTCTAAAATACAATTAAAAAAATCAGCCAGGTGTGGTTGCTCACACCTGTTGTCCCCGACTGAGGTGGGAGAGTCGCTTGAGCCCGGGAGGTCAAGGCTGCAGTGAGATCCCACCACTGCACTCCAGCCTGAAGTCAAAGTCAGTTTCATTGACAGCTTATTTTGCCCATGTTGAAGATACCTGTGAGTAGTCAACATAAGCGGTGAGACACCGTGTGTTCCATTCTCAGTCCTAAGTCTAAGAAACCTAGTGTCCATTTATTTTATCACTTACCAAGTGAAGGTGGTGGCTCCCTTTGGGCAGTGCAGGTCTAGAAACTTCAGGGCGTATTCCTATGTGGGGGACCCAGTCCTGCTGTGATTTTGGAAGGGATAGGGCCAGGGATACATTTGCACTTTCCTGGTAACAGCTGTGTGATTGTCTGCTCCAGGTTATTAGTGAGCTGAATGGAAAAAACATTGAAGACGTCATTGCCCAGGGTGAGTTGATGTGGAGGGGCTTTCATTTGTTTTCATGGTCCATCCTAATCCCTGCCGGTCTGTCTGTGGCCTGCCAGGTTTCGCTTGTGGACCAGAGCACCCTAGAAGCCTCACCCAAGGAGTGAGCAGGGCACCAGTGGGCTCATGTCATGGGCGCTTCTAGACACTCCCAGGAGCAGGGCAGCAGGGGGCACCCTGTGTTCTCAATGGACGTTTAGGTGGCCCTGCCTCTTAAGCCTGACTTCCCCTGGCCCTGAGGCCATTCCCCAGAATTCTCTGAAGCTTGGTGTCTGGAGAACTGAGTTCATATCAGTAGTTCTTACCACATGCTTTCTGTGAAGGAGCTGGGGGCAGGGACTATGGGTGCCAGGGATGTTCACAGGCTCCTTGCCTCTTTGTTGGGCAGATGGTTTTTTGTTGGTGTCAGCTGAGCCGGTGGGAGTTGTTTGGAAGTTGAGCTGTTGGGGCAGCTGTTCCTGTCTTCCATGCATGTGACCAGGACAGGGCCAGCTCAGCAAACGGGCCAAGCCACGAGCACATGGCTGTGGCCAGAGATGTGGACACTGGAGCAGCATGCTCATTGTCCAGGCCGAGCACGGTGGCTCACGCCTGTAATCCCACCACTTTGGGAGGCCGAGGCGGGCGGATCACAAGGTCAGGAGATCGAGACCATCTTGGCTAACACGGTGAAACGCCATCTCTACTAAAGATATGAAAACTTAGCTGGGCGTGGTGGTGGGCACCTGTAGTCCCAGCTACTTGGCAGGCTGAGAAAGGAGAATGGCATGAACCTGGAAGGTGGAGCTTGCAGTGAGCCGAGATTGCGCCACTGAACTCCAGTCTGGGCAACAGAGCAAGACTCCGTCTCAAAAAAAAAACAACAACAAAAAACCATGTTTGTCCAATGGACATCTGAGGGTGGAGGTGGGGAAAGTGGGCAGGCAGGCAATGTGGGCCTAATTCCTAGAAGGCAAGTTTCTGGATAGGAAAAGTCCCTGTTGAGGAGTGGCTAGGGGAGGGAGTGTTCCGGAAGAACGGGAGACACTGGCATATGGTGGGTCCATATATGTTGGCTGCCCTGTGCCATCCCTGGTGCCATCTGATTTCCCTGTGGAACAGCCTCCCAGACTGGGCAGCTGCTCTGGTCTTACCTCTCTGCTTTCTGTAGGTATTGGCAAGCTTGCCAGTGTACCTGCCGGTGGGGCTGTGGCCGTCTCCGCTGCCCCAGGCTCTGCAGCACCTGCTGCTGGTTCCGCGCCTGCTGCAGGTAAGTGGTGGCCTGGTGAGTGGGCAAGGGGCTGGGGCTCAGACAGTGTTGCTGCAGTGGGGTCTCCATGGGGGGACTGGCCTGGCACTTGGGCAGTGCTCACCGTGCCTCTCCTCTTTTCCATAGCAGAGGAGAAGAAAGATGAGAAGAAGGAGGAGTCTGAAGAGTCAGACGATGACATGGGATTTGGCCTCTTTGATTAAATTCCTGCTCCCCTGCAAATAAAGCCTTTTACACATACCTCAAGTATTCCATGAGCACTTTGTCAGACGGTAGCCTCTGCCCAGCTTCGCATCAAAGAGGGCAGGTTTGAGGCTGAAGTGTGGACAACATGGTGTTGGGGAAGGGTTTCTGGTGCAAAATGAGCATGAGGAGGGGAGTCTGGGCATCACAGCTGCCTGGGGCCCCTTCCTGTGGGCCTTAAGCGGTATCCTAGCTCCTGAGTACACCCCAGAAAAATGTGAACGGGCTGGGCACAGTAGTTCGTGCCCGTGATCCCTGCACTTTGGGAGGCTGAGGAGGGAGGATCACTTGAGGCCAGGAGTTTGAGACCACCCTGGGCAAATTGCAAGATCCCATCTCTAAAAACCAAACTATCCAGGCGTGGTGTGCACCTGTAGTCCCAGCTATGATAAGTTGAGATGGAAAGATCACTTGCCCAGGAGGTTGAAGTTAACAGTAGGCCATGATAGTGCCACTGCACTCCAGCCTGAGCAGCAGAAATCCTGCCTGTAAAAAGAACAGCAGAGAAGATGATTTGAAATGGAGTTTGCGTAATCAGGGCTCTGTCTTTGGGGTGGCTTGGTGCCTGGCCTTGCAAGGACAGGATTCGTAGCCCCTGGGCTTTACAAGTGGATGCAGGAAGTGAGTCCAGCTTGGGGGTGGTGTACGCCCCTGGGTTTCCCTGCAGGAGTCATGGCTCCGCCATAATGCCCTGAGCAACTTGGGCAGTCACTCCTCAGGCTTGTTTTTCTGCCGTTCACAGCCAACCCCTGCCTTACTGGGCAGATGTGCTCAGGGCTTGTGGGCAGTGACCGCAGGGCCATGTGTTCACTGAACTAGGTCCTTTGGGGGTGGGCCTGTCCTCCCCTGACAGGCTCTGGCCTGGAATATGGGGCTAAGGACAGGCCATCACCCACCCCTCCCCGCCTCTCTGCCCTCCTGGCCCTACTCCGTACACTGTCTCCCGGGCCTCATGGTCTTTGCCCGCCAATGTAGGCACCCAGAAGATGGTCTGCCCCTCCCACCCTGGGCTTGGGGTCAGCAACCCACCAACTGGCTTTGGTGTGGGGAGCACTTGCTCTGTGACCTCCTTAGTTCTGGGAGGATAAACAGGAGGGTATAGCACAGAAGACAGTTGGGGTGACTGGGGGAGGCCTCCCTCAGATGGGGAGCCAAGACCTGCAGGAAGGCAGAGTCCTTGGAGGGGAAGCAATGTGGGTTGTCGGGGGAGCCAGGGAGCCACAGAAGGTACTGATATGGAGAGGGATCCAAGATGCTTTTTATTTATTTTGTTTTTTTTCTTCTTTTTGAGATGGACTTTTGCTCTTGTTACCCAGACTGGAGTGCAGTGGCACAATCTCAGCTCACTGCAACCTCTGCCTCTCTGGTTCAAGTGATTTCTCCTGCCTCAGCCTCCTGAGTAGCTGTGATTACAGGTGCCTGCCACCAGTCCCGGCTAATTTTTTGTATCTTTTTGTAGAGATGGGGTTTTACCACGTTGGGCAGTCTGGTCTCAAACTCTTGGCTCAGGCAACCCACCCGCTTCGGCCTCCAAAGTGCTAGGATTACAGGTGTGAGCCACCGTGCCCGGCCTTAATAATATTTTTAAAAAGACCTTTTTGGATGCCCGTAAAAGCAGAAACTAGGGTGGGAGTAAAGCCAGGTGAGCAGTGGAGGAGGCTGGAACCTGGGTAATAGGGGTGGGGCAGCAGATGGAGGAGGAAGCAAAGAGAAATGACCCTAGCAAGGTACAGCTAAGGAGTGCAGGGAGCAGTGCTCCCTACAATGGGGCAGGGGTGAGGCTGGGGCTGTGGATGGCCCAGGCTTAGGAAGCAGTGCTCGCTACAACAGGGCAGGGGTGAGGCTGGTGCTGGGGATGGCCCAGGCTCAGGGAAGGGGCCCGCAGCAGGAGTGGACCTAGGCTTCAGAGGGCAGACCTGGCAATTCCAGCCTTGGACCCTGAAGGGAGGGGCCCTGTTTTGCCCGGAGGTCACCATGAGAGGGGACGTCCCACTGCCTGGGGTTTCTCATTGAGCTGCCCCTTGGAGCTTGTCCTAATGGTGGGGTGCTCCCAGACCCTGCCAGGATTCTGGGAAGGACTGCCCAGTTCCTGGCTCCTGAGCCTCCCAGGGGCCTGGAGATTATGTACGCAAAACAGCCTGACCCAGCTGTGGAAATGGGAGCAGAGGTCTCCCTGCGCTGAGGCAGCACCACCCATCAAGGCGACAGTCCCTCAAATGGGGCTAAGGCCCAAACCCTGGCCTTTCCCGGCCTCTCCTTGGAGAGGGAAGGACCCTAAGTCCCTGGCTTCCCTGTCAGTGGTTGTCCTGACGAGCCCCTGGACTTCCATCCCTACTTCACCACACCCTGAACCCTGCTGGTTCCAGCAGCATCGCCAGAATCCAGGCACAGGGGGCTCCTGACACCTGGCTCCGCCCTCCATACCCTGGCCCTCCCTCCCCAATCCCAGAGTGCATTTGCCGCCGTGTACCTCCATCTGAAGATTTGGAAGAGGCCCCACGTGTGCAGGAGAGTCTTCTTTTGTTTTTGAGACAGGGTCTCACTCGCTCAGGCTGACGTGCAGTGGCGCGATCATGGTTCACCCCCAGCCAGCCCAGACTCAGTCGATCCTCCAACCTCAGTCTCCTGAGTCGCTGAGACTATAGGTGGGTACACTACACCTGGCTTAGTTTTTGTTTATTTATTTATCTATATATTTATTTTTTATTTTATTTATTATTTTACATATATATATATATATATATTTTTTTTTGAGACAGAGTCTTGCTCTGTCACCCAGGCTGGAGTGCAGTGGTGTGATCTCGGCTCACTGCAAGCTCCGTCTCCCGGGTTCATGCCATTCTCCTGCCTCAGCCTCCCGAGTAGCTGGGACTACAGGTGCCCACCACCACGCCTGGCTAATTTTTTGTATTTTTAGTAGGGATGGGGTTTCACCATGTTAGCCAGGATGGTCTCGATCTCCTGACCTCGTGATCCACTCACCTCAGCCTCCCAAAGTGCTGGGATTACAGGCGTGAGCCACCGTGCCCGGCCTATTTTTTAATTTTTTTGTAGGGATGGAATCAAGCTATGTTGCCTAGGCTGGTCTCAAATTCCTGGACTCAAGCAATCCCCCCACCTCAGCCTCCCAGAGTGCTGGGATTATAGGTGTGAGCCACTGCGCCCTGCCTAGGAGTCTCTTCAAGTCAAGTATGGTCACGTCCTCCCTGTTTAACCCTCTCCCACCGCTGGGGCTCAGTTACTGTCTCCCCCTCACTCCCCCACAATCTTCGCCTGTCCTGGTCGGCTGCCTGGAGGGCCTACAGCCCTGTCTGCTCATTTACCCTTCAAAGTTCAACTTATCCTCGCTTCCCACAGGGGAGCACTCCAGAACCCCTGAGGTGCCCCACGCGAACTCCTCTCACTCATTTTTCAATTTTTTTTTTCCTGAGATGGAGCAGGCTGGAGTGCAGTGGCACGATCTGGGCTCACTGCAAGCTCCGCCTCCCGGGTTCATGCCATTCTCCTGCCTCAGCCTCCCAAGTAGCTGGGACTACAGGCATCTGCCACCATGCCCAACTAATTTTTTATATTTTTTTAGTAGAGATGGGGTTTCACCATGTTAGCTGGGATGGTCTCCATCTCCTGACCTCGTGATCTGCCCAGCTCGGCCTCCCAAAGTGCTGGGATTACAGGCATGAGCCATAGTGCCCAGCGTTTTATTTTGTTTTGTTTTGTTTTTGAGAAGTCATGCTCTGTCACCTGGCCAGGCTGGAGTGCGGTGGCACCATCTCAGCTCACTGCAACCTCTGCCTCCCAGGTTCAAGCGATTCTCCTGCCTTAGCCTCCCGAGTAGCTAGGACTACAGGCATGTGCTACCACGCCCCGCTAATTTTTGTATTTTCAGTACAGAGGGGGTTTTGCCATGTTGGCCTGGCTGGTCTCGAACTCCTGACCTCAGGTGATACGCCCACCTTGGCCTTCCAAAGTGTTGGGATTACATGCGTGGGCCACCACGGCGCCCAGCCTCTTTTTTTTCTTTTTTTTTTTTTGGGAGGGAGACTGGCTCTGTAGCCTAGGCTGGAGTGCAGTAGTGCAATCTCAGCTCACTGCAACCTCCGCCTCCCAGGTTCAGGTGATTCTCCCACCTCAGCCTCCCGGCTAGCTTGGATTACAGGCGTACGCCACCCTGACCGGCTAATTTTTGTATTTTTAGTAGAGACAGGATTTCACCAGCCAGGGCGGTCTCAAACTCCCGACTTTCCGTAATGCGCCCGTCGTGGCCTCCCCAAGTGCTGGGATTACAGGTGTGAGCCTCCGTGCCCAGCCTCCTCTCATTTTCAGCCTATGTAGACGCCTACCGGCCCCCAGTAGGGCTGGGGCAGGGTTGACTTTCCACTGCTCTCTGGGATGGCTGGGAGCATGGAGGCTGAGGACTGGGCAGCATCCCCCTACATCATCCCATTCTGGGAAGGCCCTGCTCTGGCTTCTCTAACTCAACTTGGGTTGGGGGCAGCCCCAAGCCCCGTCCCAGACCCTCTGCAGCCCTGACAACAGCTAGGGCCAGAGATGACCTCAGCCTGGAGAGCCAGTGATCCTGGGGAGACAGAATCTCATTGCCTCCCACCCCAACCTAAGAGAACCTCTCGTTTGGGGGTGGGGTGAGGTTCAGGGACGGATCCTGGATCCACACCAAGCCCGGCTTGCTCCACTGACAAGGAGAAAAATGCGGAAAAGGGACGGAAGGGTGACATCACCCAGGATTGCTCTACCTCTGGGGCAATTATCGGGGGGCGGGGCGGCCCCAGTCAGACGCAGACAGCCCCAAAGCCTGAACAGGCAGGGCGGGACCCAGGTACAGACCCAGGTAAGAGGCCAAGGTCCGGAGGGGTCGCGGGCGCGGGGCAAGGCTGAGGCCCCACGTCAGGGCGCGTGGGTCTGCGGAGCTGGGGTCCCCCACGAAGGGTTTGCGGGACTAGAATCCCGCCTTGGATGTTTATAGGTCCGTCTGTGGGTGAGCCAGTGGGGTCCCGGGGCTCCCGAGGCCTGTGTGGCTTTCAGGTCTGGGGTGCTGCCAGTGAGTCTCTGCCCAGGGACCAGCTCCTCTGTCCCGAGGCGGATCCGGTGGGGAGGGGCGGCGGCTGCCCTGAAACCAGAGCCCCCTCTCGCGGGTACCCAGGTCTGTGTGAGGCTTCCAGTCCCCAGGCTTGGGGGCCTGCGCCCGGCCCACCCCGCTCCCGTAGGCGCGTGCCCCCAGCCGTGCCCAGCAGGGGCGGAGGGAGGGCAGAAGGCTTCGCTGGGTGGCAGCGGAGGGCGGGGCTCCAGCGCGGGGGGCGGGTCAGGGACGGGGGCGGGGCCCGAAGGCACGGCCGTTCCCCGCGCGCCCCGATTGGTCTTCGTGTGCCGGCCCCGCCCCCGCCGTGAGTTCACACTTAAAAGCGCCAGCTCCGCGCCGCTCGCGTAGCTTCTTTGCCTCCGCCAGCCGGGACCCGAGCTAGAGCCGCAGCTGGACCCACCCGGCCCCCGGCTCCCGGCTCCCGGCCCCCGGCTCCCGGCCCCCGGCTCCCTGCTCCAGCGAGCGAGCGGCGAGCAAGCGGCGCAGAGAGGCCCGGCCGCCCGCGGAGCCCGGAGCCCGGCGGCCGCCGCCGCGATGTTTCCCCGGGAGAAGACGTGGAACATCTCGTTCGCGGGCTGCGGCTTCCTCGGCGTCTACTACGTCGGCGTGGCCTCCTGCCTCCGCGAGCACGCGCCCTTCCTGGTGGCCAACGCCACGCACATCTATGGCGCCTCGGCCGGGGCGCTCACGGCCACGGCTCTGGTCACCGGGGTCTGCCTGGGTGAGCGGGGCCGGGGGCGGCAGGCGGGGCTGGCGGGAAGGCCGCGCGGGTCGGGGGATGGTCTCGGTGAGCAGAGGGGCCCCGCGGCGAGCCGGTGGGTACCGTGGGGAGGGCTCCTGTCCGCGCCTGGGGAACCCGGCGAGGATCCAATCCGGGTCGCTGGCCCGGGGGCGGGGCCTGGTTTGTTTTGCTCCGAGGGTGCCCGGGGCCCGCCTCTCGGGCGCGAAGGTTGGGGGACGGGCAGGTGCAGCAGAAGCTGCTTAATTGGACAGAGAAAGTAACTCGTGGGCGGGACCGTGAGAATCCAAGGAGGGACCTAAGTCACCCCGTGGCCCTGGATATTACACCCGGTGCCAGCGGTCGGTCACAGTGTCCTGGGCCTCTGCAATTCCAAGCTGCTATCAGGGGGCCTGGCATGGGGGTGGCCTCTGAGAGGCGTCTGGGAACCGTGACCTGGTCCTTTCCAAGGGCCCGGAGGAGGAGCCCCGCTGAGGTCAGGGCTGGGCGCGAAGGGGCTCTTCTGCCCTCTCCTTGCACACGGTGCCCTGTGGCCTGGCTCCCCGCTGAGGCCCACCGCGTTTGCACACTTCATGGTGAGGGTGCTTCTGGGCTCTGGTGCCTGTGGTCAGGAGTGGATGGGTCTCTGTGTGCTGGGCTGGCCTCGGCTCGCACTATCGGCTGCCATGAAGGAGCAGCATTTACAGCACATAACTTCAGGAGTCCTGGGAACTGCTGCCCAGCTCCTAGCCTGTGAGGACACACGAAATGACAGGCACCCTGCTCAGCAGGAGCTTGTCCGGGGTTCACCCCTGCCCTCTTCCTCTGAACTTTGTCCTGGGAGGGAGGGGGCTGGACCACAGAAGTGAACCCCCCAGGTCCCAATAACTAGAGCTGTTATTGGAGGCCTTCAGACAAGCGCCTCAGTCGGCCCCCTGGCTTCAGGACACATCAAGGTCCCTGCTGCCCCAGCCAAGGACACTTCTCCTATAGCTTCCCCACCCTGCTCCCAACAAGACTCCTTCTCACGGGTGGTCTTGCACAGCTGGAGCCCATAGTGCAGCAGGTGCTGTCTGAGGAGCTCCTGACTCCACACTGCCCCAGTCCTGACAAGAGTGATGCACTGGAGGAGGGGCTTGGACCTCAGCTCTTCCCACAACGCTCCAGACCACTTCCAGGGACTAGCCCCAAGCTGGCCAGCACCCTTGGGCCCAAAAGGAGTGTTTGGGGTGCTTCCTCTTGGCTGCAGTGGGACACAGGTGTGCCTTCTTAGGAACTGGGTCCTGACTACTTCCAGCCCGGGCCTGTGAACTGTGACCTGTGTGCCGGGCTGGGCTTTGTGGGTCTGCCCCATCCCCCCACTGCTGAATCTGGCCAAGTGGGTGAAGGCTAAGGCTGGTCAGAGTTGAGTCTCTGCCTTGTCCCCACTCCTGGGCTAGATGCCACACCAGGCCTAGTGACTCATGGGGACAGACAGTTGGGAAATACCAGGCAGAGGGCAGGTCCTGGTCTCAGCTGGCCAGCCTCAGCTGTCTGCCATCTCAGGGAAGGTGGCCAAAGTCCCAACTATAAGCCAGGTCCCACATGCACTGGGCCTCCTCCAGGGTCTGTATGCCATGGAACCCTGGACATGGGGCTATGAAGGAAGGTGGGTTGCAAAGCCCAGGAGCACGGGCCCCTAACCTTGGCCCTGTGCCCCAGGTGAGGCTGGTGCCAAGTTCATTGAGGTATCTAAAGAGGCCCGGAAGCGGTTCCTGGGCCCCCTGCACCCCTCCTTCAACCTGGTAAAGATCATCCGAAGTTTCCTGCTGAAGGTTCTGCCTGCTGATAGCCATGAGCATGCCAGTGGGCGCCTGGGCATCTCCCTGACCCGCGTGTCAGACGGCGAGAATGTCATTATATCCCACTTCAACTCCAAGGACGAGCTCATCCAGGTGGGGCCTGGTGGAGCCATGCTTGGGGGTGGGCGCGGTGTGAACCTCAAGGACCCTGCTCACTCTCTCCCACTCTGTCCCTGTCCTAAAGGCCAATGTCTGCAGCGGTTTCATCCCCGTGTACTGTGGGCTCATCCCTCCCTCCCTCCAGGGGGTGGTGAGTATCCCTAGCCCTGGGCACCTTCCATGAGGTGGGCCGTGGGATGAGGGACAGAGGGGGAGGCCGCCGAGAGCCATCCTTCAGGCCCTTGTCCTGCCACCGCCTGTTACCCCACTTCCCCTGTGTTACTCAAGAAGCAGCCATGGCGACGCACGCTTCCTGCCCTGCCCCCCGCCATCCCTTCCTCTGTCCCTGCCCTCCCCCATCTGCCATCTGCTCAGTGCCCAAGCTGGCCCACAGTCAATGCCCAGTGGGTAAAATGCCCAAATGAAATAGCCACTGAATGGGGCCCTTGGTGGCCGGGTGGGGTGGCGGTGGCGGGGTGGAGCTGGCCAGTGCAGCCGCAGGCCCTCACGTACAGTCCTGTCTGTGTGTCCCATGGAAGCGCTATGTGGATGGTGGCATTTCGGACAACCTGCCACTCTATGAGCTTAAGAACACCATCACAGTGTCCCCTTTCTCGGGCGAGAGTGACATCTGTCCACAGGACAGCTCCACCAACATCCACGAGCTGCGAGTCACCAACACCAGCATCCAGTTCAACCTTCGCAACCTCTACCGCCTCTCCAAGGCTCTCTTCCCGCCTGAGCCCCTGGTGAGCTCTGCTCCGGGGACTGTGGCCTTCCCAGCCACTCCTCACTGAGCACCAAGGGAGAACACTGCTCCTTTGACTTCTGAGTGCCCAGGGTAGGGTGGGGTCTGTACAGCCTCTTCTGAGGGCTGCGGGAAAGTGCGCAGCCTCTCTAGGGGCAGATGGCCTATCCACCCTCTGTCCAGGCTCCCCGTCCAGCCTCTCTCTCTTTTTTTTTTTTTTGAGATGGAGTCTCGCTCTGTTGCCAAGGCTGGAGTGCAGTAATGCGATCTCAGCTCACTACAACTTCTGCCTCCTGGGTTCAAGCTATTCTGCTTCAGCCTCCCAAGTAGCTGGGATTATAGGCGCCTGCCACCATGCCTGGCTGGTCTTAAACCACTTTTTTTTTTTTTTTTTTTTGAGACGGAGTCTCATATTGTCATCCAGGCTGGAGTGCAGTGGTGCGATCTCGGCTCACTGCAAGCTCAGCCTCCCAGGTTCACGCCATTCTCCTTCCTCAGCCTCCCGAGTACCTGGGACTACAGGCACCCGCCACCATGCCCGGCTAATTTTTTATATTTTTAGTAGAGATGGGTCTAGGATAGGTTTTGGGGTTGGGGGCTGCAGGTGGTGAAGGCAGGTGGCTCTCAGGGGCACCAGGGACTGCAGGGGCAGAACAGACATCCCTGGCTCCCTCCACTCCGTTTAACCCTCCTTACCGCAGGTGCTGCGAGAGATGTGCAAGCAGGGCTACCGGGACGGCCTGCGCTTCCTGCAGCGGAATGGTGCGTGGACCCGGGTGGGACAGGGCGGGGTGGGCTCGGCTCTGCTGCACCCTGCGGGCCTGATGAACTGGGAATTCCTTCTTGCCCCCACCCCAGGCCTCCTGAACCGGCCCAACCCCTTGCTGGCGTTGCCCCCTGCCCACCCCCACGGCCCAGAGGACGAGGATGAGGCCATGGAGAGTGCCCAAGTGGAGGACCACTCACAGCCACCCGGGGAAGATCACATCCTGGAGCACCTGCCCATCCGACTCAATGAGGGTGCGCACCTCAGGGACTGGAGGGGAGGAGGGGAGGCAAGAGGGGAAGAGAGAGACGACGGTGAGCCCGGGAGGGAAATCTAGAGGGTCCTGGGCTCCTCTGCCTCCACTGGCCGCTGACCTCCCTTCTACCTGCAGCCCTGCTGGAGGCCTGCATGGAGCCCACAGACCTGCTGACCACCCTCTCCAACATGCTGCCCGTGCGTCTGGCCACTGCAATGATGGTGCCCTACACGCTGCCGCTGGAGAGCGCTCTGTCCTTCACCATCCGGTGTGGGGGCCGGGGGGTCGGGAGAGGAGCCCTGGGGACGGACTTTGGGATCATCCACGAGTGATGGTCACCAGGGAAGGGGGGGGGGGGGGGGGGGGGCAGTACTGAGTCAGGGCACAGACAGGGCCCGGCGGGTGGGCATGCGAGCCCCTGAACGCGCTGCTTGCCCTGTCCCCAGCTTGCTGGAGTGGCTGCCCGACGTTCCCGAAGACATCCGGTGGATGAAGGAGCAGACGGGCAGCATCTGCCAGTACCTGGTGATGCGCGCCAAGAGGAAGCTGGGCAGGCACCTGTCCTCCAGGTGAGCCGCCGACCGCGTGTCCACCCGGGGCCCGTGGTGCTAGTGCCGGGAGCTGAAGCCTTCCCTACCATGTCCCTGCCCCGCAGGCTGCCGGAGCAGGTGGAGCTGCGCCGCGTCCAGTCGTTGCCCTCCGTGCCGCTGTCCTGCGCCACCTACAGCGAGGCACTGCCCGGCTGGATGCGCAACAACCTGTCGCTGGGGGACGCGCTGGCCAAGTGGGAGGAGTGCCAGCGCCAGCTGCTGCTCGGCCTCTTCTGCACCAACGTGGCCTTCCCGCCCGAAGCCCTGCGCATGCGCGTGTCCGCCGACCCCGCCCCCACCGACCCAGCTGACCTCGCGTCCCCGCAGCACCCGCTGGGCCTGCCCCCTTGCTGAGCGCTGCTGCTCTCGCGGCCTGGCCTGTGATCGGGGCCCTGAGGCTGCCTGAGACCCCAACCCTCTCCAGGGATCCTGCCTGAGATGCCTGCTTTACCACTGCAGAGTGAGGAGATGGGGGGAGTCACAGCTGCCAAGAGGGGCCTTTACCGTGGGCCCCTCGCCAGCCACTCACCAGCTGCACTGAGTGGGGAGGTTTCCACATCTCTCCCCTGGGCCGCTGAGGCCCCGCGCACCTGTGCCTTAATCTTCCTTCCCCTGTGCTGCCTGAGCACCTCCCCAACCCCCTTACCCCCGAGAACTTTGCAGCTTCCCTTCCCGCCCCATTTTTCATGTCCTGCTGAAAAATGTGTGTGAAGAATTATTTATTTTCGCGAAAGCACATGTAATAAATGCTGCAGCCCAGCCTCTGCCCACTTCGCGTGTATGTGACTGCCCGCTTGCTTGCAGAGCCTGGTGGCCAGGGTCTGGCCCTGCCTCGGCTGACTAGCGTCTCCACAGCTGCAGGCCGGGTCTCCCAGCATCGCACTCCTGGGCCTGGCATTTGGAACCTGCCAGGTTGGCCTAGGAACCCCCCGCTACAGGCACATGTGAGCCTGCTGCATTCCTGCCCACCCCCCTGTCTAGGACCCATCCACATGCCCCCCAACTTGCCCTCGGCCTCCTGGCTGACCCTTGGCCACAGCCTTCTGAAGGCCAATGGAAATATTTGGGACCGAGATCCTTGGTAAATAAAAACCAAAATGTTTACAAAAGGTGTCACCTGCCCCTCCCCACACACAGCGGGGGTGTGGCTGCTTTCAGGCTTGGACAGCTGTGGGGGCTGAGGTTCCTGAAACTGAGCTCAGGGGACCTGGGAAGCCTGGTGCTTGCTCCACTTGGGCGTTTGGCCCAAAGTTCTCTGTCCCCCACCCTCACAAGCGTCTCTGGCCTGGTGCACATACCTTCTTGTTCCTGTGCCCAGCCAGTACACAGGTTGGGGCTGGGATATGGAGGCAGGTGAGGTCCTAGCTGAAGGGGACTCAGCCTTGTGCTGAGGAAGTGGTTTCCTGACAGCATCCTCTGCATGGTGGGGAGGCCATGAGGGAAGAAGGCCAGTCCTCCTTGGTAACCAAAAGGTCCCCATGGCCTGAGGGTGCTGGAGTGGAGCCCTAGGCCTGACTGGCTGTCCAGAGCTCTTAGCCCTGTCAGAGTCAGTTCCCACCTGCTCCTCCCAGAAGGCGTGGGGCGGCTGTGGTGGCAGCCCCCTGCCAACAATAACGGTTGGTTCTGGGATCTGGGACTGGGCGAGCCGGCCAGGCAGGTCCCTGGTGCGCCTGTGCCAGAGGCCACCCCCCTCCTTGGTTTCAAGGTCCTGTCCTATAAGCCCAGCCTTTTGTGGTTCAGCTGGGTCGCAGGCTGGATCCCAGGCCCCTTCCTTGAGAAGCAGAGGCCTTGCACCCCTCCAGGGTTGCTGGGCAGGAGAGTGATTCCAGCCCTTCAGGTGGGTGCGGGGGCCAGACGGGCTGGGGAGGGCTCCTCGGTCTTGGGTGGAATTTTCTCCCCACACGGGAGGGTTTCATTCTGGCCTCAGGCAGCTCCTCCTTCCAGTCCTCCCCCAAGGGGAGCCCCAGTCAGGGCTGGGCCCCAGAAGGAGAGCCAGGAGGGGCTGTGGAGGTGGGACCTCCCTGTGTCCCCAGTTCGTTCACCCGTACGTGTACACTGAATACTGCTAAGTTAAACATTTTCTAGCATTACATGTTCATTGTTTTGTTTTGAGATGGAGTTTCGTTCTTGTCGCCCAGGCTGGAGTACAATGGCACAATCTCTGCTCACTGCAACCTCTGCCTCCTGAGTTCAAGTGACTCTCCTGGCTCAGCCTCCGGAGTAGCTGGGATTACAGGTGCTCGCCACTACACCTGGCTAATTTTTTGTATTTTTAGTAGAGATGGGGTTTCGCCATGTTGGACAGGCTGGTCTCGAACTCCTGACCTCAGGTGATCCGCCCCCTGCCTCGGCTTCCCAAAGTGCTGGGATTACAGGCGCCTGGCCTACATGTTTATTGTTTAAAAACTGGGAAAGTATCGAGAAGAAAGTAAAGGCTCCCCACCCCTAGAGATAACCGGTGAAAGTATTTGGTCTGTTTCCTGCCCGGCCTTTTCCTACACACACTTTTTGGTGCCTTAAGTCAGGCTCCCCACGGACAGGAGCGGCCCCTCCCAGACGCTGGTGTCTGCGCCCGCCCCCCGCTGCCTTGTCCCTGCTCTGGGGGGTCCCTGGGTCTCTGGGACACATCGTTGCTCCACTGCTCGCTCGAGCCTCCACGGGTCGGGCAGCCGGGGCAGCGCAGAGAGGCGGGGACAGGCCACAGCGGCGCAGAGCGGCTCCTCCCGGGGCCGGCCCAAGCAGGGGTCTCGGTGCCTGGGAGGCGGCAGGGGTCGCTCCGGGCCCGGTGCCCCCGGCGCCCCGTCCGGGTCCCAGCTGGGGCGGGGCGCGCCCAGCGTTTCCGGGAGGAGCGGCCCCGGGCGCGCGGCAGGTGCGGCGGCGCAGTTCGCAGGTAGGCGACCGCTGGTCCCGCCGCTGAGGCCCCTCCACCGCCGCCCGCCCTGCACCCGCCGCCGGCACCCCCTCGGGGCCGCCGTGGCCCGCGCCAAACCTGAGCGTCTCGGTCGGGAACTCGAGTTATACCCTCGGGGCGCGCGGCGGCAGGGGTAAGGGCGGGCTTGTACCCCAGAGTTTCGGGGAGCGCAGGCGGTTGGCCGCCCCACCCAGCCAGCCCATCCTCCCAGCTCCCTGGGGCCCTGCCGCCACGCGGCTTCCGGCTAGGGTGGACCTCCGGTCTAGCCGGCAAGCCGGAGGGAGAGGCGACAACGTGGCTTGGAGGCAATGGCCCTGGCCTCTTGTGTCCCCTTCTCTCACCTGCCCAGACTTGCCCTCTTTGAAGGTCGCCTGGGCTAAGGAACCTGGAAGGACCCTGGGCGGGGAGTGAGGGGAGAGGATCACAGCTCCCTGGTTGAGGAAGGCAGGTTTTGCTGGGGAGCAGCTTTGGGAAATCCGGGATTAGGACACTGTGTGAAGGACAGGTGGCTCTGGTTAGGGGAAGGGGTGTCCCTGCAAGGAGGTGGGATGGGAGGCCCCAGGGAGTTCTGGGACAGGGAAGGGCCTTAGTGTTGGGGGGCAGGGGTGTTAGGTCTTGAATCTGAGTGTTTCTGAGTGGAGCCTCAGAGGCGCAGGGCTCCGCAGGCTGGGACCTTGCCCCTGCAGTCTGTCGGCTTAGTTGTGGGGAGGGAGGGGCCGGTGGGCAGAAGGGAGAAGTTTGCCCTGCCTGCCAGCTGTCATGAGGCAGGGCCACACAGGCCCAGGCCAGGGGCTAAGGACTTGGTCAGGACTGGCTGAGCCCTCACTTGGGATCAGACCTCCAGCTGCAGAGCGTGACGGGCTCCTCCCTCACTGACCTGCAGCCAGCTCCTCTCAGCTTTCAGGATCCCACCTTCCTTATCACCAGGTCTTCTCCACTGGCCCCTGAGATTGCCCTCACCTCCAGCTCCCCCTCTCCCAAAGTCAGCAGCCCCTCCTAGGGCTGTAGCCTCTCCCTGGGTTCCAACCTCCTGAGATGCCAGACCCATTGGGGCAGTACTCACAGGTCCTGAGCCTGCATCACCCACTCCAGTGACGCCCCAACCCTGCAGCATTTTCCACCCCACCCCCCTGGCCTCACCTTGCCTTCCGCCCACCTTCCCACCTGCTGCAGGGAGGGCCCTCAGCTGAGCCGTCAGACATATTTGCACCCCATCTGCTCCCCTCCTGAATTTCTTCTGACCCTCCCTTGGCTTCACAGCACCTGAAGGCCAACTGAGGTCCCCTGCTCCCATGGCCAGTCCTGGAAAGCCTGGGGCTGATGAGGCCCAGGAGAAGGAGGGGGAACTTGAGGGGGGCTCTGCAGGGCCACAGGCTGCAATGCTGGAGCAGGCCCAGGAGCTGTTTCTGCTGTGTGACAAGGAGGCCAAGGGTTTCATCACCAGGCACGACCTCCAGGTGAGTCCCTTGCCCCAAGAGACTGCTTCGGCCCTGGTTGACCTCAGCAGCTCATCTCTGCTCTCCTTCCCTGACCAGGGACTCCAGAGCGACCTGCCCCTCACACCAGAGCAGCTGGAGGCCGTGTTTGAAAGTCTGGACCAGGCTCACACTGGCTTTCTCACTGCCCGGGAGTTCTGCCTGGGCCTGGGTGAGCCTGAGGCCTGCCTATCTCCTACTGCCTAGAGCTGGAGGCCTGATCAGGAGGCCTGGCACCTGTGGCGCCCCGAGGGCTGCCTGTGCCTCTCCTCCTCCTCCCTCCGGGGCCTATGCTGGTATCTGCACGCACTGGCGCTTGGGGGCTCCCAGCTGCTGTCCAGTGTGTGGAGCTGACCTTCCTGCCCCTCACCTCCTCTCCTGTGCTAAGCTCCGGTGGGGCTGGGAGCCGGCCTGTCACCTCTTGTTCCCAGGCCAACAGGACCAGAATAAGGAAGAAAAACAGGAAACTGGGCCCTGAGAGAGGGCAGGATACTTGTTGGGAGGGTGAACGGGGACAGAGCCAGGGTGGCGACCCACAGCAGTGGTAATCACTCGCTCCATGCCCGCAGGGATGTTTGTGGGGGTGGAGTCGGCCCAGGGAGCGAACCCCCGCAGGACTCCCGAGGAGACCTTTGAGTCGGGCTGGGGCTGGCTCGACGTGCAGGGCACGGGGGCCTCTCTGGATGAGGAGGAGGAAGAGGAGGAGCGATTCCACACTGTGTTGGAGCAACTGGGGGTGGCCCCGGTCCTGGGCGAGTGAGTTGGCGCTGGCCCCGCTCCCACTGCCCCCTCTGCTGTTTCTCTGCCTGCATGCTGTCTGCCCTTGTCACCCGAGTGCTGGTCCTGCACAGGGTCTCTAGGGCGGGTCAGGCCTAGCCTAGCGTCAGCTGCGACTCCTTGGGAGGGACCTGGCGTGATTTCCCGCAGAATTTGCATTTCATGAGGCAGCAGCCAGGGCTGCAGGGAGGAGGGGCAGCGCCGGGCGCGGGGCCACATACTGGCACTGCCCGGGATACGCACACTGACCACGCACGCCGGGCAGGGGCGAAAGCGCTCACGGGAGGGATGCCCTGCACGCTGCAAGTGCTCCTGTCCTGCCCAGAGACGAAGGAGTCTCCCAAGGGTTTGCCGTTGGCGGAGGGGAGCCTGCTCCCCGCCTCTGCCAGCTCCAGCCTCAGTTCCCGCCCGCCCTCCAGGCAGCGGGCTGTGAGGACGCTCTGGGCCCGGCTGCAGCGCGAGCGCCCCGAGTTGCTGAGCTCTTTCGAGGATGTTCTGATACGCGCGTCAGCCTGCCTGGAGGAGGCGGCCCGGGAGCGCGACGGCCTGGAGCAGGCGCTGCGGAGGTGAGGGCCAGGGTGGGGTCTGGGAGCCAGTGGAGGGCCTCAGGGTAGCAGCAGAGGTGGTGCCGGGGGGCTGTAGCACTGGCAAGTTCTCATCCGGGGTCGCCTGGTCCCCCGAAGGCGCGAGAGCGAGCACGAGAGGGAGGTGCGCGCTCTGTACGAGGAGACCGAGCAGCTTCGCGAGCAGAGCCGGCGCCAGCCGAGTCAGGTGGGTCTCGGGCCCCGCCCCTCCCGCCAGGCCCAATCCCACCGCGCTGGCCTTCCTGGCTCCGCCTTCTCCGAATTAATCCCTCCCCGACGGCCCCACCTCCGCGGGTCCAGGCTGCCCTCAGCCCGATGAGACCCCGCTGGGCCTCACCCATCACGCCCGCCTGGTTTTCTCCACCCCACCCCGCCTCGCCCTGGCCCACTCCCAGCCCCTGGCCCTCCGTGTACCTCTTTTGCATGGCCGGGCGGCCAGCGGGGGCTCAGTGGTCCTCCCTGCGTCCCAGAACTTTGCCCGCGGGGAGCAGAGAAGCCGCCTGGAGCTGGAGCTGCAGAGCCGCGAGCAGGACCTGGAACGCGCGGGCCTGCGGCAGCGGGAGGTGAGCACCTGGCCCCTGCCCCGTCCCTAGGGTCACCCGTGCACTCTCCCCCTATGCCTCAGCGTCCCCAGTCCCCGGGTTGTCTGGAGCCTGGGGCCCGCGCAGCACCCCGGGGAAGAGGGGGCGTTCCTTGCCGGTCTCCATCCTTCCATCCTTCCACCCTTCCACCCTCCAGTTAGAACAGCAGCTGCAGGCCCGGGCTGCGGAGCACCTGGAGGCGCAGGCCCAGAACTCCCAGCTGTGGCGGGCGCACGAGGCGCTGCGAACGCAGCTGGAAGGGGCGCAGGAGCAGATCCGCAGGCTGGAGAGCGAAGCGCGAGGCCGCCAGGAGCAAACCCAACGGTGCCGGGGGATGGGGCTGGGGCGGGCCCCGGTACGTGTCCTGCGGGCGGGGCCGACAGGCGCTCAGCTCTGGGCCACTTTCATCCCCATCTCAAGTCCCAGGCCCGCCCAGTGGGAGGGAGGGTCTTCTAGGGGGTCCTGGGGCTCCCCAAGGAGCCTTCCTGCAGCCGGATCACCCCCTCCCACCCACAGAGAGGTGGTCGCCGTCTCCAGGAACATGCAGAAAGAGAAAGACAGCCTGCTACGGCAACTGGAGCTGCTCAGGTACAGTCAGGCTCAGGCCTGAGAGGGAAGGGGCCCAGCAGAGCTTGGGGGCTCCAAGCTCCCCAACATTCTTGGCTGCCACTCTACTCCACTGGAAGTCTTTTCTTATGTCTGCCTTTCACCCCTCACGCTGCAGTCCCAGCCAGACACCTCTCTTCAGTCTGAGGGGAGTCAGAGCCCGCCTCCCCCCAACCTTGAGCTCCCTCAGACCCTCTCAGTGTCTGACTCCTCCTTCCCTAGGGAACTGAACACACGGCTGCGGGATGACAGGGACGCCTGCGAGGCCAGGCGGGCGAGTGGCAGCCGCAGGAAGGCTCTGACGACTGCCCACCTGCCTGGGCCCACCTGCTGCTGCTGCTGCTGCTGGGCTCGGCCCCACAGAAGTGGCTCTGGCCACCTTCCCAGTGCCCGGTGACCAGCTCCGAGTGACTCAGAGCATCAGCTAGAAGCTGCTCTTCTGGGAGGCTTGTCATGGGTAGGGGGTGCCCACTCAGGATGTGGGTTCTCCCCAGAGGGCCCCAGGATCGCCTGACTGAAGAACTGAAGACATGAAGGACCTAGCCTGGGAGTGGTCAGGGTCCAGGGAGTGGTCAGGGTCCCGTGTGCCCTCTGCCAGTCTTCGCTCTGTCCCCAAGCAACTCCAACTCAGTTCAGCAGAAAATCCCCCTCATCAAATAAAACCTACTGACTGCACTGCATCCTCCTGGGCCTTCCGTGCATCTGGGGGCCACAGCCTGTGTGTGCCACATGCATGAGGTGGGCACTGTGCACACATGCTGTGTGGGTGAACACAGGGAGCGCCGGCCTGCGGCGATGGGGCTGAGGTCCTGCGTGTCCTCTTGTGTCCCTGGTCATGCCCCAAACTCACACGTCCACAAGGCCCTCGCCAGTGTGTGGATCAGGGTTCCCCACTGTCTCACTAGGGAGCCAGGGCAGTTCCTAGCCTCAGTCGGCCACCCCCTCCCATGCTGGTCCTCACCTGTGGCAGTGATGAATGAGCTTGGTGGGTGGGGAGCCCCCTCCTTCCTCACTCCCACTCTGGGCGTCTTGGTGCAGCCCTAGGCCAGCCCTACCATTCCTCCTTCGCCTCCTCGCACCGCTCCCAGTGGCCCCTTCTAGTCTGGAGGGCATGGGCCCCCTAGAACCCCATGGGTATCTCTCGCTGGGACCCCAGGCCTGCCTGGGTCTCCAGGCTGTCCACACTGCACGCAGAGTAGCCCCTCTCCTGCATCTACCCACAGCGCTAGGCCCTCCCCTCCCCCAGGCCAGCATCCGTTCTGCCGACCCCTGCAGCCTCTGGGCGGTTCCTGGGTGCTGAGAAAGAGATGGGGGTTGGGCATGGAGGAGGGCCCGGTCGCCACAGCCCAGGCCCTCTGGCTGGGCTGGTCGCCGTCTTACCTCCGGGCCCGCCTCCCGCGCAGCTCCTCTGTACCTGGACCGGATGAGCCCTTGATGGGCTGTTGGCACCCCCAGGGCTGCAGCTCGCCCGGCCTCCGCAGAGTCGGGTCGACCCCCAGCGCCTACACCCACCGGCTCCCGCCCGCCACGCGGGTTCAGACCTGTCGAGCTCCTGCGCCCCGGGCGGGGCTTGAGGACGGGGCGGGGCCGGGGCGGGGCCTGGGCGGGGTGGGGCGTCCCCCTCGGAGGCGCCGGGCCGCGCATTCTCAGCGCTGGGAGCCGCCGCCCCCGCAGCCGCAGCCGCCGCCGCGCGGTCCCGGACTCCGACGAGTGGTAGGTGAGTGCGACGTCACGGCAGCCCGGCCGAGCGGGGCGAGGGGAACGAGGGGAACGAGGGGAACGAGGAGGCCGAAGGCCCTGCGCGCCCCAGTCCCGGAGGCCCAGCCGCAGGCGCCGGGAGGTTCCGGGAGGCCGCACCCACCGCCCGGCCCAGCTCCTTCGCAGGCCCTTCTGCGGGAGACGGACGCCGGTCGGGTGAGGGAGGCGCGGTGGCAAGGAGAGGCGCCTCCCAGACCCTTGGACCGGCCTGACGGCACCCTTCGGCCCAGGGGTCCCGGGACGCGCAGCCTGGACACCCTGCTCATTGTCCCTGGACACGGCCGCCTTCCCTCCGCCCGCAGCCGCCCCCGCCCGCGTGCAAGTGGGCGCGCCATTGGCCGCGCCGGGCGGGGTCGGCGGCGGTGACCTCATTGCAGTGCCGCGGGGAGGCTTGGCAGGCGCGGAGTCCCAGGTCCCCCGACTGGGGCTCCCCCTGATAGGGCGCGGGTCGCCCAGGGGCCTGGTGCGGGTCCCGGGGACTCGGGGAGGGCCGGAGAGCTGTTTTTGGATGGCCTTTTCCCAGGGGGTTCAGAGGGACTGGGCATTCCTGGGAAGAGGGGCCACTCCTCAGCCGGTCGCCTGTGTCCTCGCGGTGGAGGCCGCATCTGTGCCTTGAACCAGCCTCTCTAGAAAGCCTGGGACCTCACAGCCAGGCCAGGGGCAGATCCGTGAGGGGCTCACACATCCCCCCAGCTCAGTGACAGACACACATCCCCCCCATCGGTGGCAGGCACACCGCCCCGCTGGTGGCAGGGTCTGCTCGTGCCACCCCTCGTGCGTGTATTTAGGCCCCGGGCTTCATGGAGGGTGAATATCCCCTCTCAGCTCAGTGGTCAGGTCTGTCCCCCCCAGCTTCATGATGCCTCTTTCCCAGGCTGTAGCTGCTGCTGTTTGGGGCAGAAGGGCCAGTGATGGGCCTGGAGCGAAGGCCAAGAGTGGGGCACCTGGGGAAGGCATGAGGTCCCTCCCAGGATCAGACACTGTCCGGGAATGTCCTCTGCCTTGGGAGGCCAAGGCGGGTGGAACACCTAAGGTCAGGAGTTCAAGACCAGCCTGGTCAACATGGTGAAACCCTGTCTCTACTAAAAATACAAACATTAGCTGGGCGTGGTGGTGGGCGCCTGTGATCCCAATGACTCAGGAGAATGAGGCAGGAGAATTGCTAGAACTCAGGAGGTGGAGGTTGCCGTGAGCCAAGATCGAGATCATACCATTGCACTCCAGCCTGGGTGACAGAGCGAAACTCCGTCTCAAAAAAAGGGAAAAGGCTGGGCGCGGTGGCTCAAGCCTGTAATCCCAGCACTTTGGGAGGCCAAGACGGGCAGATCACAAGGTCGGGAGATCGAGACCATCCTGGCCAACACGGTGAAACCCCGTCTCTACTAAAAAAATACAAAAAACTAGCCGGGCGGGTGGCGGGCGCCTGTAGTCCCAGCTACTCGGGAGGCTAAGGCAGGAGAATGGCGCGAACCCAGGAGGCGGAGCTTGCAGTGGGCCAAGATCGCACCATTGCACTCCAGCCTGGTCGACAGAAGAAGACTCCGTCTCAAAGGAAAAAAAGAAATGTCCTGTGCCTTGCCCCACCCTAGCCCAGACTAAAATACCAGGTTTGGCCACTCCTCTCACTGCCTCCAGAATGAACCCAGCCCACTCTGGCCCTTGGGCCAGACGTGTAACCTGTGACCTGACGTGTCCTTGCCCCTCTAGCCTAGAGTCCTGGGGAGCTTCTGTCCACCTGTCCTGCAGAGGAGTCATTCCCAGCCCGGTTGGTGTGTGCTGGGCAGGGTGGGGCAGAGCAAGCGGGGCGGTGAAAGTCCAGGCCTGGCTGTGCTGTCTGGAAACGTGGCCCGGGGCGCTCACCTGCTGTCTGCACCCCACGCGGTCCCTGCCTTCCCTGTGCTCACAGCTTGCCCACTGCTGCATGTTGGGCAGGGCACGGGGGGCCTCTGGGGAGGGGCACAGCCTGTCTGTGCTGCCCCCTCGTGTTGGTGTGGGTCCCCTGTCCAGGAAAAACCCTCCCAGTCTGCCAGGCTCCACCTGCCTCCACGCTCCATTCTCCCCACTCGGGCCAGGAGGAAGGAAGGGCTGCCCTTTGACAGACCTTAAACAGGCCCGGAGAGCCTTAGGAAGGGGCTGAGCTGGGGCCTGTCTGAGCCTCTGCCCCTCTGCTGTCTCTGTCTCTGAGTGGCCTCCTCCGCCCTCACTGCAGGCCCGTAGTCTCCTGTCAGCCTGTGACGTGGGGCCCCGGGAATGCCGTGGGGGGCGGGCAGGCTGGCATGAGCTCACCGGAGGTACCCGCTAGGGCTTCCTCCCCCGGCCGCCAGCAGGGGTGAGTCAGCAGTGATGATGGGCGGTCCTCCATGACCCCTGGCCTATCTGTGGGCACCAGGGGTCTCTCGTGGCTGCACCTGGTCAGGGCTCCTGAGTCGCTAGGAGGTGACACGTCATGTTCCCACAGGGGCTCCTTCGAAGGTCTCCCAGGACAGTGGCTGGCTCCACCCGACTCCTGGGCCGGCTTGGGCATCTGTGTTCCCTTCTCCTATCTGTCCCTGTCAGGGGTCTGGTGCTGTGGCCCTGCTGACCCCTCCCCTGCCTCCCCAGCCCCAGGATGGGTGAGTTTAACGAGAAGAAGACAACATGTGGCACCGTTTGCCTCAAGTACCTGCTGTTTACCTACAACTGCTGCTTCTGGGTGAGGAGGGGTCGCCTTGCCCCCACTCCCACCCCCACCCCCGCCCCTCCTGGGTCACCATCAGACCTGGGCAGACGCGGTGACTGGTGTGTACTGCTTGTAGCTGGCCGGCCTGGCTGTCATGGCAGTGGGCATCTGGACGCTGGCCCTCAAGAGTGACTACATCAGCCTCCTGGCCTCGGGCACCTACCTGGCCACAGCCTACATCCTGGTGGTGGCGGGCGCTGTCGTCATGGTGACCGGGGTCTTGGGCTGCTGTGCCACCTTCAAGGAGCGTCGGAACCTGCTGCGCCTGGTCAGCAGGGCGCAGGGCCACGGGGCGGGGTGGTTTGGATGGGGCCCAAGGGGGTTGTTGCTGCAGGCTTTGAACCTGTGCCTTGCTGTGCTCACCTGGGGGGGCACGGTCCTTCCACCCCTGCCTAGTCCTGTGGGTCCCCACATTCCCGCTGGACCAGCTGAGGGAAGACACCAGCTCCACAAGAAACCTTCAGGGAGGGTGGCCGCCACTCAGCCCCCACCTGGAGCCTGGGGAGCCGGGGTGGGGACTCTGCTCTGAGGTGCCCAGGCACTAGGCCTCAGAACTAGGCCTCCTTGTGCACCCCGCCCCCCCCGCCCAGTACTTCATCCTGCTCCTCATCATCTTTCTGCTGGAGATCATCGCTGGTGTCCTCGCCTATGTCTACTACCAGCAGGTGAGGGGCCTGGGCAGGCCATTCAGAGACACAGACATGCACAGGTGGGGTGGACAGACACAGATGCACACACATGGCTAGCCCCAGCCCCTATCGCCACGGTCCCAGAGCTGACCAACATGCCACTGGGCCTTGGAGGTGAGGTCTAGGTCTCAGCAGGGGCACATGGGGTCAGGCAGGTGTCCAGGGGATCCGGAAGCCGTCTCTGCCTCTGCCGCACTCCACTGTCACCCTGGTGACGGTCCTGGCACCACCCAACCTCCCCTCATGCCGAGGTCTGACCTCAGCCCTTCCCTCTGGCTCTGAGCCAGGACCTGGGCCTCCCCTCAGGCCATCCTGGGGCTCTGCCAGCCCCACCTTGGAAGGTCTTAGACTGAGACTGAAGTTTCTTGCACCCCAACCCCAGCTGAACACAGAGCTCAAGGAGAACCTTAAGGACACCATGGCCAAGCGCTACCACCAGCCGGGTCACGAGGCCGTGACCAGCGCTGTGGACCAGCTGCAGCAGGAGGTGGGTGGGTGGTGCTGGGAGGGTGCATGCATCCCCAGGGCCTCCCTGGACCTCTGCAGGAGCCTCTGGTCCCAGGTCTCACCCTGAGCCTTGTTCTTGATGCAGTTCCACTGCTGTGGCAGCAACAACTCACAGGACTGGCGGGACAGTGAGTGGATCCGCTCAGGGGAGGCCGGTGGCCGCGTGGTCCCCGATAGCTGCTGCAAGACGGTGGTGGCTGGTTGTGGGCAGCGGGACCACGCCTCCAACATCTACAAGGTGGAGGTGGGTGGGCAGCGGAACCTCCAGTATCTATGAGGTGTGGGGACCTCCAGTATCTATGAGGAGGTGTGGGGGGCCTCCAGTGTCTATGAGGAGGTGTGGGGGGCCTCCAGTATCTATGAGGAGGTGTGGGGGGCCTCCAGTGTCTATGAGGAGGTGTGGGGGGCCTCCACTATCTATGAGGAGGTGTGGGGGGCCTCCAGTGTCTATGAGGAGGTGTGGAGGGCCTCTGGTATCTATGAGGAAGTGTGGGGGGCCTCCAGTATCTATGAGAAGGTATGGAGGCACCCCAGTATCTATGAGGAGGGAGGTCACCCCAGTGGCCAGATATGGGCAGCGAGACCACGCCTCCAACATCTACGGGAGGTGGGTGGGCAGCCCAGTGGCCGGATGTGGGCAGTGAGACCACGCCTCCGATATCTTAGGAGGAGGTGGGTGGGCAGCCCAGTGGCTGGCTGAGCTGTCAGTGGCCTGGCTGTGTAGGTGCTAGGGGTGGGCATGGCCACACCCTGGAGGTGGAGCCGGTGGGAAGTGCCCCCTGGGCCCACCTTCAGCACCCATCTGCGCCCCGCAGGGCGGCTGCATCACCAAGTTGGAGACCTTCATCCAGGAGCACCTCAGGGTCATTGGGGCTGTGGGGACTGGCATTGCCTGTGTGCAGGTGAGGGCACATGGGGTGACGGGTATTTTGTTGGGGACATGGGGCAGGGCGGTGGTTGCTGGCCCCACGGCGTCTACTTATGCCCGCCTGGCTCTGCACACAGGTCTTTGGCATGATCTTCACATGCTGCCTGTACAGGAGCCTCAAGCTGGAGCACTACTGACCCTGCCCTGGGCTTGGCCGCGGCTCTGTGCCTTGCTGCTGCTGCACCCAACTACTGAGCTGAGACTACTAAGTGCCAGGGGCTGGGCTCCCTGATGACACCCACCCTGTGCCATCACCATAACCTCTGGGGACCCCAACCCCAGAGGCAGCTTCAAGTGCCTTTCGCTGCACACCAAAGCCCAGCAGGGAAGTGAGGGGGGCTGGCGGGACGACGGTATCGGGGGTGTTTTGTGGGGCTGCCTGAACACATTCTGCCTGGTGGTCAGATGCAGGCTAGAAGGGGCCTTGCTGAGTAGGGCAAGGCCGAGTGTTCCCAGCAGGGGGAGAAGCCCTTCACATCCCAGGCCCTTCAGGGATTAGGGCTTTGCCTTGCAGCCACATGGCCCCATCCCAGTCAGAGAAGCTGAGTAAGCTCTGACCCTTGGGCCTGGGCCTCTGCCCCTCCCCACCCAGGCCTCGTCTCCCTCAGAGCCCCTGCTGTCTTCCCCACCGCAGTCACCACCACCCGAAATGCCACGTGGTCACTGTGCACTGCCCCGTCCATGTGCCTGTGTGGGGCAGGGGCCTCCCGGTTTTGTTCACTGCTGTACCCAGATGCCTACAACCATCCCTGCCACATACAGGTGCTCAATAAACACTTGTGGGGCAGATGGACGAGCCCGCTGTGCTGGTGAGATGGTCTGTTCTCAGGGCCCCTCACGTCCAGCAGGGTAGACAGACCCCCCCTCTCAGTGTCAGGACAAAGAAGGGCAGAGCCAGGACACAGCCCCCATGGGGCTCCAGGGAAGGGAGGTCTGATGCCAGGGACAGCCAAGCACAGGTCTCACAGCAGAACTGAGCATGTTCCTAAATGGTGAGATGGTGGTGTGTTCAGAGCCCCTGGGGGAGAGGAAAAATGGTTTCCAAAGACCCTTCTGGTCATGGTGGGGAGCAGACATGGAAAGGGTGCAGACTGGGGGCTGTGCCCAGGTAAGAGGCGTCAGGCAGATGGGTGGGGGCAGTAGGGTGAGGGGGTTTACACGGTGGAGCCTATAGGCCCTACTGGGGGCACGGGTGGGAGATACCAGAGCCTGGTGTCTGGCAGAGGTACCCTGGAGATGGGAGCCAGGGCTCAGTCACTGATTGTACCCCCCACTGCCCAGGCTCCTGTCCCTAAGGCTCAGAACTGAAGACCCTCAGGCAGACCCATTCTCCCCCACCAGAGGGCACCACGCCAGGTATCTCAGCAGCAGGGCCATCTGACCTGGGGTGCTTGCTGGCAGCACTGCCTGGACAGCAGGGCCTTCTTAAGGCCGCCTCCCAAGCCAGCTAGGGGTGTCTTAAGGCCTGCCCTCCCTGCTAGGCTCGGGTAGGACCCTCAGGGACAGGCAGCAGTGGGCAGGGGCCAGTAGGTGCTGGCAGCCGTGACCATAGCAAAGACTGGGCCCCAGACGATCTGGTTCTTTTTTTTCTTTTTTTTGAGATGGAGTCTCACTGTCACCCAGGCTGGAGTGCAGTGGTGCAATCTCAGCTCACTGCAAGCTCTCCCCTCCCGGGTTCATGCCAGTCTCCTGCCTCAGCCTCCCGAGTAGCTGGGACCACAGGCGCCTGGCACCACGCCTGGCTGGTTTTTTTTTTTTTTTTTGTATTTTTAGTAGAGACGGGGTTTCACCGTGTTAGCCAGCATGGCCTCAATCTCCTGACCTCGTGATCCACCCGTCTTGGCCTCCCAAAGTGCTGGGATTATAGGGGTGAGCCACCGTGCCTGACCTAAATCTGGCTCTTCAGATTCCAAGAGAGAGGGTACAGGAGCCTCTGCTCAGTCTGAAGAGCACCCAGAAGGAGGGAACCTCAGAGCCCTGAGATGGAAGGCGCTCCTGGCAGCACCTCCTGCAGGGGTACCTGTGGAACAGGCTGGCCCCAGGGCTAGGAGAATTCATGGCCCAGTCGGCTTCCCTGGGCTGCCACAGTGTGAGAGCTGGGCCTAGTCCTGGCCCCTGACATCCTAGTGAGGGCTGGGACCTTGGTAGTTCTGAAAGACCTTTACTGGATGGTTCCTTCCAGAGTGGGGGATGGGACACACACATGCTGTGGCGAGGCATTGCGCCAGCTCCTGGATGCCTCAGCCTTGTGAACTTGGGGCAGGATGCTCATGGCCCATGGTCAGCATGGCAGGTAGGCGGACCCCAGCCTGGTCACTTCTCCAGGGGTGCATAATTGAGCAGCTTCTCGATCAGGTCCACGTGGGCCAGCAGCATCCGGCGGCAGCAGTAGCGCTTCAGGCCCAGGGCGTCCAGCGCATCCCTGTGTCAAGCGAGGGGAGGAACAGAGAGGCCAGCTGAGTTCTGCACGGTCTGCACAGGCCTGGAGCCCACATCCAAGCTGCCTCTCACTGCCTGCTGGCCTCACTCCCCTGCTACTGGCAAGGCGAACACATTCACCCGGATCAGAAGTTGAGACCTAGCAGTATGATCCTGGCTGGAGTAACCTGGCAATGCCCAGATCCCTGGGTGGAGTGTGGGAGCCTCCTCTCCCACCTACTCTGGCTGTACATATGTGTGTCTAACATATGTAAGAAATATAAATGAAACGAAAACTAGAGGTAAATGGGGGGAGCATAGAAAACCAAGGCCACCGAGGTCCTGATGTGCAGCTCCCCTCATCCCACACCAGCCACAGCAGGGTAGCTCTCCAGGGGCCTGCCCTTAGCTGGTTCATCCCCCACCCCGGCCAGAGCAAGCCCTACTCTGTCACTGTGGGGTCTTTCCTCACCTCTGCTTCCTTCAATCAGGGAGAGACTGCTTCTCCAGGGAGCCACCTCTCCCATTTCCCAAGCCAATTAGAAGCTTTAATTTCCCTGGGACCAGGGTCCAGTCACCATCAAGACTTCCAGAAAACTCCCACACTGATGGCTCCAATGTGCAGAGACAGAAGCTTGGGAAAGGGGAGGCCACATGGGAGGCCCCTGCCGTTCATATCCCTGGGAAAGGGTCTGGACAGGCCACCAGCCACTCACTCTAGCAGCCCACTCGCTTTCCTCATTCATTCAGCAAGCTGCACTGAGAGCCTATGGCAGGCTGGCACACACGAGCCTGGGGTTTCACATGTGACCGGGACTCAGCAGGCAAGGGTCAGACTCCAGCGGGGGCACCAAGACTCAGGCACGGTGGTGACAGCAGCACTGAGGGACAAGCACAGGAGAACGATGCCTCCCCCACAAAGCCGGATGATGAGGGTGGTCAGCAAGTCTGCCCTGCATTTCTTTTTGTGTGTGTGTGCTTGACACGGAGTTTCACTCTCTCATCCAGGCTGGAGTGCAGTGGCATGATCTCGACTCACTGAAATCTTCACCTGCCTCCCAGGCTCAAGCGATTCTCTCGCCTCAGCCTTCCAAGTAGCTGGGACCACAGGTGTGCACCACCAAGTCCGGCGAATTAAAAAGATAAAGAGGGCCAGGGGCGGTGGCTCACGCCTGTCATCTCAGCACTCCAGGAGGCCGAGGCAGGTGGATCACCTGAGATCAGGAGTTCGAGACCAGCCTGGCCAACATGGCGAACTCCTATCTCTACTAAAAATAGAAAAATTAGCCGGGCGTGGACACGCCTGTAGTCCCGGCGACTCGGGAGGTTGAGGCAAGAGAATTGCTGGAGCCCAGGAAGCAGAGGTTGCACTAAGCCGAGATCGCGCCGCTGCACTCCAGCCTGGGCGACAGAGCGAGACTCCGTCCCAAAAAAGAAAAAAAAAAAAAAGAAAATTTCTGGAGATCAGGGTCTCCCCAGGTTGTCCAGGCTGGTCTCGACCTCCTGGGCTCAAGCAAGCCTCTCGCCTCGGCCTCCCAAACTTCTGGGATTACAGGCGTGAGCCGCCGCGCCCGCCCGTCCTGCATCGAGGTTTGCAGGACATGGGGTGGGTCTGGGGGCAGAGACAGGAGATTAGGGCGGAGACCAAGGGCTTTACTGCGGGTGACAAGACGCCTGCCACCCGCCAGGCCACCTAGAATCCCCAGGACACCACTGGTTTGAAGCCCAACTCCGTTCTCTCCCGAGACTTCAGGGGACAATGTTCTCCCGAAAGCAGATCACAGAGCTGGGCCGGAGTGGCCGGGCATGAAGCTGCTCATGGAGCGCCGGCCCCAGGCAGCGCTGCGCCTCCCGTCCCGGCCCGCACCCCAGGGCGGACTCAGCCCCCAGCCCCGGCCCCAGCCCGCGCCTCACCCCTCAGTGTACTCGGCCTGCAGCAGCCCCAGGTAGGCCTCCCACTTGTTGCCGACGATCTTGCCGCAAGTGAAACACCGTACAGGAATGATCATGGCGGCGGCGCGTTCCAGACTGCGCGGCCCGGTCCGGCCGCACGGGAAGAACTCCCCCCAGGCCCCGCCCCGGGCGCGTCCACTGTCGCGGGGGAACCGGCTCCGCTCGTTCTCCGCTGCCCTGGCCGTTCATCCACTGGCCCCGGCGCTACTGGCCACAGTTTCCGCCGCCATGGGGATTCCCCATGCGGTCCGGGGCTCCTGGGCCTGCGCGGCCGCGGCACCAACAGACGACACACCCCCGCCCACCATCTTGGTGCGTCCCGGAGCTACGGCGTCTGAGCAGGGCCGAAACCCGCGGCGGCGGTTCGCGTTTCTCGTGTCCGCTTGACTGACAGCTGCGCGGCGGGAGCGGACGAAGCGAGCGGGAGGCGGCGGCCCAGGTACAGCGCTCCGGGCTCGTGGGGGCGTGCGGCCAGGGTCTCGCGGCCCGAGGTGTCCGACTGGGAGCGGCTGGAGCCGGACGCGAGCGGGGCGCACGAGTTCGAGCCCAGAGCCGACACGCAGCAACAAGTGGGGTCCGGCGCGGGGGCTTGGGGAGAGAGCGGGCGGGGGCCGGGGCGGGTCTTCCTGCTGCCCCTCTTGGCCCCGCCGGGTAGTGGGGTCCCTCCGCCTCCGCCTCTGCCTCTACCCGCGGGGTGTCCGGGGCTCTCGGCGCCGAGTTCGGGGGGTCCCATTCTGGACGCGGCCCAGCCCCTAGGGGCGCCGCCCTGGCCTCGGCCGCGCAGTTACGGCCCCCGCCGGCTGCTCCCCGCCCCGGCCTCCTGTCCGCGTTCTTTCCGCTCCTTCCCAGGAAGGGGGTCGGGGTGCACTCTGCTGGGCTGCTCGCCGTCCCGACGCTGAGACGCGCCTCTGAGCACGGGGAGAGGGGGCCCGGGAGGGAGGTCGGGGAGGGCGTCGTGGAAGAGGTACTCTTTGAATTGAACCTTGAAGACCCCGGTACAGGGGACCCCTGGGCAGATTCCCGGAGGCTGCCCTGGCAGGACCCGCTGAAGGCGGCAGCTCTGCCTTGCTCTGGAGCTCAGGGCCTACGGAGGACGAGGGAGGGGGAGCCTGTGTCTCTTGGATGGAGTGCGGGGGGGGGGCTGGCACCAGCACCCTTCTTGCTGTGCCCCTGGGGTGGGGGTGAGGAAATGGGAGGTCAGTGTGCAGTAGGAGGCAAAGACTCCCTGGAGGTGCGAGGTGGGCTGTGGGGGGTGGGCTGCAAAGTGGCACCCATGGAGGGGCTCTTGGCTGGGGCTTCCAGCTGGCGTGGGACCTGTGCTGGGTTCCAGGCGTCAGCTGCCGCTTTCTCAGGGCAATGCTGGGTCTGCCTTAGTTGCAGGGGAGGAGGATGAAGGGTTTTCTGGGTCCAGAGTGGTGTTGGCCAGATCCACTGCACACTTGGGATTTCTGCTCCCACCCTGGCCAGGGCCCTGGGCAGCTTCCCCAGTGGCATTTGTCATACCCCACCCAGCCACGTGCAGAGCCACGAGCGGAGGCCACTTCCCTTCCCTGACCCCCTCCCCCCAGGATGAGTGGACGCACATCCTGCTCGGGCAGAGGGGCAGGACAGGGGCCGTGAGTAACGGTGGCCTGGGGTCAGAGCCAGGCTCAGCTGCAGAGGCTGCTGGTGGCTGTGGAGGTGAGGGAGGAAGGGGGGTCCGGGATGTTAGCAGGGTGGGCCCTGGGGAATGGGTGGGGGCCCCGGAGGCTTCCTGGAGGAGGGTCCAGGGCCTGTCCTGCCCCTGTTCCTGCCTGCAGGAGTTGTTTACTCGGAGCACGGAGCACAGGGGGGCGGGGAGAGTAAGCTGCCCTCCAAATCCTGGCTTGGGCCAAGCTGACATTCTTGGAATTCCAAGTGTGTACGCTTCCTATCCCTCCATTTCCTAGCAGAGCCCCTGAGACCTGGAGACTGCCCCAGCCTCAGGCTCTGTGCCCCTCCCCCGAGTCCCCACCACATGTGTGCGGAGGCCCCTGGGAAGCCCAGGCCTGTCCTCAGCCCAGACTGGGCTATACCTGAGGACCCTGGGGAGCCTGGGCCTGCCTCAGCCCTGCCTGGTGCGTCCCTCTGAGAGCGTGTGGGGCGGAACAGCCTGGGGCCTGGGCCCGACCCTCCTCAGGCTAGCGGGGGTGGGAGGGAGCCTGGTGGGGGGGCAGGGCACTGTGCTGGCCAGCAGGGGCCCGTGGGGGCCCCTCCTGGGTGTGGAGTGTTGGTACAGACCCGGCCTGGCTTCTGGGGAGGGCCTGGGATGGGGCCAGGAGGTGAGGCACTGGTTTTATAGAAGGGGGCGTTGTGGAGTCTCCTGTGGTCAGCACAGGGCACAGGGAGCGGAGGGTGGGCTCCCCCAAGCGCTTCCTGCTAGAGGAGGGGTCACTTCAGGGCAAGTGACCAGGGGAAACCCATGATTGAAGTTTTAGCTGCTGAGCTCCTCCCACCCCGGGTGTTGCCCTGGAAACAGGCCAGCCACGGGACCGGGAGGGCTGGGAGGGGGAGCACGGGCTGCGCCCTGGCTGGGATTCAGCTGAACTTGCACTCTGGTCTGGGATCACAGCCCATGTTTCCCTATCTGTGAAGCTCAGGTGGGACCAGAAGCTGCCCACCAGGAGGGCTGCATCCCTCCTGCCACTGAGACCAGGCATGGCCTTTGGCTAGGAGAGGGTGATCATGGTGTGTGTCCCCAGCCTCGCCCCCACACCTGTGCCCTTTGGCCCTGTCCATGGCTGGGACAGATGTGTGCTCACCCTGAGGATGTTGTGGGGTGGGGTGGGGTGGGTGCACACGGCGTCACGAGCACATGTGCCCGACACCTCAGCGGTGCACATAGCCAAGGCCACTGCCTGCCGTGCCCACGACGTCCGCGTCCTCCCTGCAGTCCTGGGAGATCGGCATTTTGAGCAGTGGGGTCTGTAGATGGGGCCAAGGCTGAACTGGCCCCAGCCTAACCACTCACATGCCTGGGCTGGTGGCATTTGGGAATGTCACTGCCTGCCATGCAGCTGCCCAGGCCTGATGTGCCCCCCAGACTGTTCTGTAGGGGTCTAGGTTGCACGGGTCAGGGCCCGGGCTGTGGTGGGATGGCACCTGAGGTGCGGCTGCTCCTGGAGCCTGGGGGTTGTGGGAAGGTGCCCCCCACCCAGGGTCCTAAGTGTGTTGCTTTCACCCCCAAATCCCAGAAGAGAAATACCCAACAGTGCAGGGGAGGGTTACGGGGAAGGCCTGGAGTGTGGGGTTGGCCTCGGTGGTCCTCGGAGGAAAGACTGGGGAACCTTTGGACTGTCTGTCCCTCCCCTGGGGCTGGTGGGGGGATCAGAGTAGTGTCTCCAGCCTCCAGGGCTCAGGTTTGGGTAGGAGAGGCCTGGTCCCACCCAGACTCTGCGTGCAGCCCCCAGTCCCTGCTCCTTGTATGCATGAGGGGGTGCTAGCTTGCTTGGGACCCCCCCGCCCAGGGTGAGGGTCTGGGATGGGCACTGGGGCCCCGCAGGGGCTGAGGCAGCCAGAAAGCCCACAGCATAAGCTGTTTGTGTTGGCGGGCCTCCCTGCTTCCTCAAAGCTACCTCAGAGCCTGTGAGCCTGGGGAGTCAGGGTGTGTGGGCTTGGCTCTGCTGTCTGTCCTGAACTGCCCCTGCTGGGCTGTGTGGCGACCCTGGGCTCTGGGCTGGGCCAGGACTGAGCTGCTGCCCTGCTGCCGGGGCTCAGAGAGGCCGCTCCACTGGCCTGGCACCCAGGCTACTGCAGACAGGCTGCTCTGTCGCATGGGCAGGCCCCTCTTGGGGGGGACCTCCCTCTGGCTTCGTGGGTGTCCGAGGTTTCCTTGCAGCTCATTCCCCCCAGGTTTTCCAACCTGCAGAGCTCTGGGTGTCTGTCTTGGGGCCCTCGCTCAGCCAGGGTTGGGTTGGAGCCTCTATGGTTCCTCCTGCCCTTGGGCTACTGGAAGGACAGTTACCTCACTCCAGAGAGCCAGGTCTGAGGGGTGAGGTGTTGCGGGGTGGAGCCAGCAGGGCAGGGAGTGCTGGGCACTGCGTTTGGCTGCCCAGGTGAGTTTGGGGCCTCTCCCTGGCCAGAAATCCATGAGTGCCAGGAGGAGGACAGACTCCCCAACCCATGGTGGAGGAGGGCCTTGAGGGTCCTTGCTGACAGCTCCATGGGGAGGGCGCGAGGCCCCCTTCCTGTGCTGGGGTGTCTGCTCAGAGCCCAAGGTAGGGTGGGGTGGGAGTGCTCGTGCCTGGCAGGAAGCAGACAGCAGGCTGGTCCAGGGGTCTGGGACCCCAGCAGGGAGGCACTGCTGCGTGTCTGTGTGGGTGCAAGCGTGTGCCTCGGTCTGTGTCTCTGCATGTCCCTGTGCTGTGAGTATATGTCTTTGAACATGTGTTCTCTGCACACCGTGTCTCTGTGAGTGAGCCTGTGTCCCTGCCTGGCTGTCTCAGAGGCTTGAACGGGCAGAATTTGGTGACTCAGTCATTGATTCAAAGCTCTCCTGGTTGGGGCTACTCCTCAGTGGTCTTCTCCCCCGAGGCTGGTGGTGTATCCCCTGCCCACCCCCAACTGCCCCTCTGCCGTGTAGGGACCTGGCCCCAGGTGGGGGTTCCCCTGCCCTTGTCTAGGAGCATCTCTGGCTGTGCTGAGGGTGGAAGCCAGGGCTCCACTCTGCCTGTCTTTCCTTCCGCAGAGCTTGGGGCTGCCTTGGTCGCACCCACCGCCTGCCTGCCCACTGGTCAGCCTTCAGGGGCCCTGAGCAGCGCCTGGCCTCTCTCCTGTGGCCAGCCCAGGTATGTCACAGCCCGGTGGGGCTGGATGGTTGTGGTGGGCAGCAGTGGTCTTGCCTCTGGGTCTCACTTTGCCGGCCCAGGGGCCTTGCCAGCCGGACACTTTGACAACACACCTGAGTGTCTAATCGGAGCTCCCGTGGGGAGGGGCTGGACTTTGGAGACAGGGTCCCAGAACACCCTGGCTGGGGTGTTGAGGAAGGACCCTCCCCGGCTGAGCTCTGACACTGTGGCCTTGCCCGGGCCCCTGCCTGTGTCTGAGCAACCCAGTGTGAATCCTGAACTTGGCAACAGGAGCAAGCCCAGCCCCTGCTCCTACTGGCCCTCGGTAGCCTTGTTTGAGGTTTTTGATTTCTTCTTGAATAGGCCTCATCTGCTCACCTGGGTGATGTGTGCAGGGCTTTGTAGATGGGAAAGGGGGTGGCAGGAGTCTTGGGGGGCACTGGGACTGCCTCCTGGGTGCTGGGCTCAGTGCAGGCACCCAGACCAGCTCTCCCTTTGCCCTCCCACCCGCGTGAGACCCTCGAGCCTTGCCCGCCACTTCTCCTTCCAGCCGCAGCCCCAGAGGGATGCAGGAGAGATGGGGCAGGGGTGCCACTGGCTAGCCTGGCGGCAGATGCTCTCCTTGGGGTGGCTCAGGTGGTGTTTTTGACTGCAGGTGGGGTCTGGCTTCTCCCAGTCAGCCTGGGGTCCTCCCAGGTCTCCGTGGCACCTCCCCTTGCCTGGCCCACGAGTAGGTGCTCTGAGCGCTGCCCAGGTCACATGCGAGCTCCCTGGAGGCACTGCCCACGGCTGAGTGTCTGCCCTCGGGTTGTACCTGCGTGGCTGGGGGAAAGGGGGCGCCATCTGCTCTCTGGGCAGAGCTGTGGGTGTTTCTGTCAGGGTCGGGGTCCCAGGGTTCCTGGGGTCTCTGCTGGGCCCCGATGCGTGGCCTCCGTTCTGACCCATTCCTGGGGCTCAGACCCACCAAAGAACCCTCAGGGGAAGGACAGGGTAGGGGCCATGGGAAGCGCCAGGATGGCCATGTGGGCCTTCAGGGGACCTCCAGACTAGCCTCCTGTTCCGGGGGTCCCCTGTCCCCTTCCCGCAGTGAGGACCTGGGCACGGGTGCTGCCCCGGGGCTTGGGCTGCAGTTCTCTACAGAGCCCTTGGGGGGCAGCAGAGGCTTGGGGCAGGTCCTCAGGGGCGGGCAGAGGTGGGAGACCTCCCTGGGCACCCAGGTCTCCCACGGCAGTCCTCCCCAGACCTCCCACCTCCCACATCAGTTACTCCAGGAGGACCCAGGCCTCCAGAGATGGCCAGTCCTGCCAGGGAGCACCCCTTCCCCTCCCTTAGCGGTCTCTCCCTCCTCTTCCTCCTTCCCTTCCTCATTCCCGACCTCTGGGCTTCAGGTCACCTGCCAGGAATCTGGGCCACATGCTGGTGTCTTCCCAACACCGTAGGGCCCTTGTGCCCTGCGCTGGTGCTGGGGCTTCAGAGACGTGGGGTAGGCTGCGGGGCACAGCTGGGGGCCTCTGTCCCCTTCTCCGGCTGTGGGAGGCGTATGCGCACCCGGCGTGATGACACCCAGGAGTGCAGGCACATCTGTGCACGGGGCCAGTATGTCTGTACCTGCCGGGGGCGGGGTGGGGTCTCTTACAGGCTGATTTCCAGCCTGGGCTTGAAGAAAATGAAATTCTGGGCCTTTTGTTTAAAAATTACCAAGAATTTCAAGACGGGAACAGCAGAGCATCAAGCCAGCTGGGGTGGGTGTGAGCGACTGCCCTTGAAGCCGGCCCCGCTCCCGCCTTGGGGACTACATGGGGCGCAGGCCGAGTCGTGCCCACCTGAACGCTCTGGGTCTGGCCTGGGGCTGCCAGCCTCCCGCGGGGCTGCCTGGTGGGGGGAATGTCTCAGCAATCACACCTGCGCTCTTCTGTGTTGTGGAACGTCTCGTATAGTCAAAGACTCAACGGCACCCGCTCCGTGCAATGCAGGCTGACCCAGGCCTCCCCCCGCCCCCCGGCCACCCAGGGCTTCCCAAAGCGCCCGGGGCGGAGCCGCCCCAAGTTGCCACCAGACAGCAACGGGGTAACCCTCCATTTGCGTGGTGCTTTGCGTATTGTTCGCGTGGTCGGAGGTCTCCAAGCCCGACCCGGGGCCGGGGTCCAGGCGAGGTACCATGGGGGAAAGCGCTGGGGGCGTCGGTCGCGGGCCAAGAGCTGCCCAGGTCTCATCCCCAGGCCCCGGCCCCGGTCCCCAGTCCCCTCAGGCGCCCTTCGCGAGCATCTTCCTGCCGCGCGCGCAAGGTGGGGAGGGCTGGGGCGCCGGCGCCGGCAGAGGGGCCGGGGTCGCGGCTGGTGCGTTGCCGGGGCTGCGATTGGTCGGCCCGGGCGGAGCGCTGGGGTTTGCCGGGCGGTGCGGCGAGGAGGGGAGGGGGTCCGCGCGTGGGCGGAGCCGCCGGGGATTGGCCGGGAGGGCGCGGGGCGGGGCGCGCGAGGTCGCGGGGCGCGGGGTCCGCAGCGCGCGGGCCGGGCAGGTGTTGGGGTCCCGCAGCCGGGGTCCGTGCGGATCCGCGCGTCCTGCTGCCACCGCGGGGGCCAGACCGGGAGCGGGAGCGGGGCCGGAGCAGGCACCGGCCGGCGGGATGGGGGTTTCCGGGGCAGCGGGCGTGGGGCGCTGAGAGGCGGCCCCGGCACACCCGGGCGAGATGCGCCGCTCCAGCACGGACGAGTCCACGTACCGGCGCAGCCCCTCTCCGGAGGGCAAGGAGCCGGGCTTCGCGCGCGGCGGCCCCTTCCGGCGCTACAGCAGCCTGTACGGGCGCGCGGGAGGCGGGGACGCCGGGGGCGCCTTCTTCGGCCTGCACGCGAATCCCGGCCCCAAGGCGGCCCAGGCGCGCTACACGTCGCCCAAGGGCAACAAGTACGTGGTCTTCTACCTGGACCTCTCCTTCATTTTCCTCCTAGAGCTGAAGCGCTGCGGCATGGCGCGCGCCTGCCTCCAGGCCGTCAAGTACCTCATGTTCGCCTTCAACCTGCTCTTCTGGGTGAGTCCGGGCGCCGGGGTGGGTGCCCGGGAAAGACCCGGGGTCCCTGCCGCGGCGGGTCGCGGGGTCTGGGAGGCCGGAGTCGCTGCCCCGGCCGGGCGTTGGGTGCGGTTGGAGGGGTGGTCCAGGAGGACTCAAGACCGCTGCTCCGGCTGGGGCCTGGCCTGGGCGGGTGGGGAAGGTTTTCGCCATCACTGGGTCTGACCCCTGCACTCCGAGAGGCTGCCTCACGCCCCGGCCCCCTCTCCTCTCCTTTCTTGATGGGACGGGGACACGTTGCACACGTGCGCGCCGGGCAGGGCCACCCGGGCACTGCGCCTCCCTTAGGGTCGGGATTCCTGTCCGGGTCGTGGCCAGTTTTGCGCGGGGCCCCGGTGCCTCCCCTGGGCCCGCCCCCTCCTCGGTGCAGCTGGCATCCTTGCCTCGGCCCCGCTCTTCCAGGCAGGCGACCTGCCCGGCCAAGGGACTCACTTCCGAGGGGTTGAGCCGGCTGCCGCCAAGGTTCCCCAGTCGCCGGGAGGCGCTGCGGAAGGGAATCCCGGACACTGAGCAGGGCCGTGGGCCATGAGTGCTCGCGGCAGACCCTGGCTTTCCCGCGCCTCCGTCAGCAGAGGCTTCCCTAACTTTTGCCGAGGTGGTGTCAGGTGTGCTCAGACCTGGAGTGGTGTCCAGGGTGGGCCCTGTGTGCTGGGCGGAGCAGAGCTGAAGTAGAGGGAGAACAAGGTTCCACCCCAGCCCCAAGTCGGCAGGAGGTGGGGCAGGACTCCCACCTGGCCAGGTTGGAGCACGCCTCGTGGAGCCGCGACCCTGTCCTGTCCCTGGCCCCTGTGGAGGGCAGCTGGAGTTGGGGGTGGCCGAGGATGACCTGGGCCGGGCCTGGGGTTTTGCTGGCTGGGCTGGGGGAGGTGAAGTGATGCCAAGGTCATTCTGTGCCCTATCTTTAATTCCTGAACCAGCTCCTGCAGCTGGGAGTCAGGGGTGTGGCCTCAGCTTCTGCCTGGGCTCTGGGCTTCAGGAGGCTGTGCATCTGCATGAGATCCAGCTGGGGCCAAGTGCCCAGAAGCCTGGGTCCGCCTTCCCACCTCTCCCTTCCTGAGCCCTGGCTCCTTCTCTCACCAGCTTGGGGTGGGGGCTGCGGGGGTCCCTGGGAGGGACAGTCAGCCTGGGTTGCCTGCCAGGTGTGACCCAAGGAGCCTCCTGGTCCAGATATCCACCTCCAGAAGGGGTCACCCCAAGGGTTTGTTTTCTGCAAGAGGCTCTTGAAGGGGTGAGGTCCAGGCCTGAGGGGTGCCTTGGAGGTAGGGGGGTGGGAGACCTGGGTTTGGGCTGGAGCTGGTGGGTGTGGGGGGTGGGCTGCAGGTGGCTGAGTGGCCAGAGTGTTTCTGTGATGGGGGGACGGGACCGAATGACTGAAGGGCAGTGGGTGTGGGGGCCCGGCAGGCAGGCAGGTCCTGGGAGGGGAAGCCCTCTCCTCTGTCCCCCTCCTCCCCTCCTCCATGGCCTGGACACCTGCCTTCAGGGAGAAAGAAGAGGGTCCCGGTGGGGGGGTCTCTGCCCTGAGAGCAGCCCACCTTCATGGAAGACCCCAGGTGGACCCCGCTTTGCTCTGTGACCTCCAAAGAGGCCTCCATTTCTTTTTTTTTTTGTTTTTTGAGACGGAGTCTCGCTCTGTCGCCCAGGCTGGAGTGCAGTGGCCGGATCTCAGCTCACTGCAAGCTCCGCCTCCCAGGTTCACGCCATTCTCCTGCCTCAGCCTCCCGAATAGCTGGGACTACAGGCGCCCGCCACCTCGCCCGGCTAGTTTTTTGTATTTTTTAGTATTTTTTTGTATTTTCACCGTGTTAGCCAGGATGGTCTCGATCTGCTGACCTTGTGATCCGCCCGTCTCAGCCTCCCAAAGTGCTGGGATTACAGGCGTGAGCCACCGCGCCCGGCCAAGGCCTCCATTTCTACCGCTGGCAGACACACTCTGCCGTCCTCAACCTGGGAAGGAACACACCAGGAACCCTCTTGGGACCCTGTTCTGGGCTGGAAAATCCAGTTCTCTCTTTTTTATTTTTATTTTTTGAGATGGAGTCCTGCTCTGTCACCTGGAGTGCAGTAGCGTGATCTCGGCTCACTGCAACCTTCTGCCTCTGGGGTTCAAGCGATTCTCCCACCTCAGCCTCCCAAGTAACTGGGATTACAGATGTGCATTACCATGCCCGGTTAATTCCTGTATTTTTAGTAGAGACGGGATTTCACTATGTTGGTCAGGCTGGTCTTGAACCCCTGCCCTCATGATCCACCGTCTCTGCCTCCCAAAGTGCCTCCCAAAGTGCTGGGATTACAGGCGTGAGCCACTGTGACCGGCCCCAATTATTTTTTATTATTCAATCACCACCTGCTGCCCAGTCCAGCAAACTGGAGCCCCGCTGGCCTCATATACCAGCCTTGGCTCCCTCAACCCTGGGCTGGTGCCCAGTGGGGGTCTGAGGGCAGGAGCGGGGCAGGGGAAATAAGAATGGGTGGGGGTTTTGTCAGGAGAGTCTGTACTGGGCTGACGTCCACACCTGCTGTGCCGTGAGTCACTGTGAGCTAAGTCCCCTCTTCTTGGCAGGAGGCTGTTCTAGGAGTCAGGCCTAGTGCCCCTTCCCCAGGGCTCCTTTCCTTTTGGGGGTGCCAGCTCTCTGTCGTAAGGGCTTTTGCATTTCCAACTCATCTGTCCTGCCAGGGGGCAGAACCTGGCCCGTTCCTCCTCAGAATCATTTCCTCCGTCTCCTCAGGAGTGAAGCTCAGGGGTTAAGGTGGTGGGAGGGGCATCCCCCTGGTGGGACCCCAAGAGCCCGTGTGTGTCTGTCCTGACCCCCTGCTGCCGGAGTCCTGCTGGGCCTGTGGGGAGGGCATGGGGGAGCCCCAGTGGGCAGCCAGTGACCAGAGCCATGGGCGGTGGTGGGAGCCGGGGCGGGGTGAGGAAAGTTGTGTGTGACCCGGGGGCTGTGCCTGTTCTGGGTGTGGCTGTGGGTGTGGAGGCAGAGGCTGAGCCCTGTAAGTGGTACGGGTGTGGCCAGGATGAGGGGTCCTGTGGCACTGGGAGGAGTTGGGGAGCTGAGTGGGGGACCCGTGCCTGGCTCCGGGGCAGTGGTCAGGGTGCAGTGATGGTTCTGCAGCTTCCCTCTGCCCCCACCGTGCCCGCCTGCCCCTTAGCTTTGCTCTCCTGTGCCCTCAGCCCCAGCCTGGCACCTCTCTCTGCTACCTTTGCCTTCATGCTCTTCTCAAAGCCCCCCTTCTTCCAAATGCAGACCCTCCAAGGCCCTGACAGCACTCCTGGATTCCAAGGTCTCTTTGGGTCCAGACCTGAGCCCCCCTCCACACCCATGGTCAGACTGGGCCCCTGGCTGAGACCACAGTCACTAACTGGGCCTGGGGCAGCCTCGGGACCTACTTGGTGGGGGGAAGGAAGGGGCTCGCTCCAGAAGACTGATTGACGTATTTCTTTACAGCATTGGTTCGGATTTCCGGGGCAGGCATCTTTGCTGGGATCTGGGAGGATAGGGCTGCTCACAAGGGTCTATACTCAGAGCCTCCAGCTTTGGGTGGAGTGGGGAGGGTTCCTGGGGCAGCCAGGGTGGGGAGGTAGGATGTGTCCTGACCTGGTGGTGGGGCACCCGGTGGGGCCTTCAGAGTTCAGAGCAGTGGTGCCAACTCAGCCCCACGGACATCTGGGGACACAGTGCTTGCCTTCAGCAAATAGGAGCCCCACCTGGTGATGGCAGCTCCACTGGGGCACAGCCACTGAGCCTGCCTTTGAGCCCTCCCTGCACAGGGTGGGGAGTGGGAAGCACGCAGCCTGTGATGGGGCGCGGGTGTCTCCTGGGAGCCCCATTCTGGGGGAAGCTGAGTGCAGGGCCCGTGAGCCTGAGCAAGGTGTCCTGGGTCCAGGCAGGTGCCCACACAGACACAGGTCAGCAGTAGTGAGGGCATGGGGGCTCTGCTGCCCCGGGACCCCCACCTTCAGGCCTCTGTGCTGCCTTGTCAGCTCAACCTCTGCCAGCAGCGCTCTTCCCTTAATGGAAGTGGAGGTCCCAGGGGCGGAGGGGAGAGGACGGGGCCTGCACTTCCTGCCCATCAGGGGTGGAGGCGGCTGAGCTCCTTAGCAAGGTGCCACCACCAAGGGCTGTCCTGCTGCCCGCCTGGCCTCGGCTCCTTCCCGACGCTGCTCCTCAGGGTGGGTGCCGCTCCCCTTCCCCTTCCCCTCCCCGCCCCAGCACCAGGAGCTCGTCGGAAGCTCAGGCCCTCTCTGCACTGTGTGGTTAGGGCCCGTCTGGGGAGCCGGGGTGGAGGTCGGAGTCCTGCCTGCCACTGTGGGACGCTGGGCAGGTCCTGCCCTCCTGGGGCCTCATTTTCCCATCAACACTACGTGGGGCGGTACAGGATGAGGTCCCCAGGTGCTGGCCTGACCCGGGGGGGGGGTGAGTGGAAATGTGGGAGGCCCCTCAACCCCCTGCCACCTGCACTGACCCCCGGGGAGACACCCCAGGTGGGCAGTGTGTTGGAGCCATGTGGTCCAGGGCCCCAGCCTGGAGGGGACACGGGGACTGTCTTGGCTCTGTCCTGCTTGGGCTGTCAACCCTGGAGGTGTGGGGGCCCCTCAGCCTGACTGCCCACTCTGTTGTCCCGAAGGAAGGTCCTGGCTACGCTTGGGGCCTCTGCTCTGAGATCGGCAGTGAGCCTGGTGGAGGGGTGCGGCAGGGGCCAGTCCTTGGCTTCCCCTCCCCTGGGATGAGCTGAGGTGATATCTGGCAGATACCATGGCGGGCCCGCCTGGTGCTCGCCTCTGGGCAGCACAGTGTCCCCACAGGTGGCAGAGGGCTCTGCCTCCAGCTCCCAGGCCTCTGAGGAGTTCAACATCCCAGGCCAGCCTTTGGGATGGGGATGGCCGCAAACTCCCAACATCCGTTTCTGAAGGAAGGCCCTGATGCCGGCGACCACAGTGTGTCTGAGCCTTGGGAAGTGTGTGG